TACTATACCATAAAATAAAATTTTATTTTTCAAAATGACACAAAACTTATGTGTATGCTGAAATTAAAATAGCTTCTTTCTATATTTTCTGATTGCAAAATTCTGGATAAGTTAATCGAAGCTGACTCGAAGAAGCATGTCCGCTTCCATACACAATAGGGAAAGTGAATCAAGTCTGTCCTGACACATTGTTGTTCTCTGAGGGTTTTTTATTCTTTTCAGCTGAGAAAAAGAGCGTTCTGCAGAGCAGTTAGTAATCATCAATGTTAGAAAAATATGTAGTGCGATCTCTATATTTGGAAATACAAATTGTATTCAGTCTTTCAGTGTTGTATCATGAAGATCAATGTGACTGAATTTCATTTTTCCTGTTTCATTAAACTTTGCGTGCATATAACAGTGGAACTGCCGTACTTCTCCACAGAGATTCATGTTCAAGTCAACAGGGTATGAGTCAACTAGCTTTTGGGAAACTTGTGAATATTGTTTGTCAGATAAGTCCATATTGTTTAGAAAAGAAAATCTACTTGATACTACTTTGTACACTTCACCTCTCCTCTTCATATGAGCTTCAAGTGTATCAATTATAGCGTAGTAAGTAGATTTGCAAAATTTGTCTCTAGGATTCAATGCTGTTTCTGTTGAACTGCTATCATTTGCTTGTTTTTTCCTGATTCACTTGTGGGACTGGACTTCTTTGTAGTTAGTATCAGGCAAGATATCTTTTGATATGTCTTCAAATCTTTCGAAATCATTCCTCAAAGTGTGTAAGTGGTCTGCTAATGATTGACAGAGGTCTGCATATGTTTTCAAATCCAGTTCTTTTTCTTGGAGAGCTTGACTTGTGTGGTAAAAGTGTTGTAAAATTTCATTCCACATGGTCAACATGAATACAAACTCTAGTTCTTGCATCTTGTTTGCAATGTTTTCTGCCTCTTGTATAGTTTCTCCCTTTTGTGATTAGTCTTCAGCTGTACTTTCTAATGCATCCACAATCTTTGAGTAGGACTCCAGAATTGCACTTGTTGCCATTGCATGTGCCTTCCAACGAGTATTAGAAAGAGATTTCAACACATGATCATTGCCCAAATATGTTTTAAGAACTGCCCATCGGTATGTTGAGGCAGAGAAAAATGTATAAAGTAACTGGACTGTTGAGAAAAAACTTACTGCCACCAGACAACAATCAACAGCACTGTGGCCAACAAGATTGAGAGAGTGTGCAACACATGGTATGAATATGGCATATTTGTTCTGTTCTAAAAGCTTCTTCTGCATTCTGCAAACTTGGCACAGATAATGCAGTACTTGATTTACCATTTCTTCACCAGTGTGGCTTTTCAAATTGAGGAATGTTATGAATTGTTCAACTGGTTTTCCATCTGTGGGAGACACATATTTTAGTACAATACTCAATTGATCAATATGTGAAAGATCAGGTTTAGAGTCGACAGATAAACTGAAGTACACAGCAGTACTTATTTCATCCACAATAGCTGAACGAACTTTGTCACTCATTAGACCAATGAGTTCATCACATATTGTCTTGGATAAGTATGATGGGTTACCTTTGCCAGCATTTCCATATTTTGAGATAAGGCCTGCTAAAAATGGGTCAAACTGAGCCAACAGCTCCAATAATCCCAAGAAATTTCCATTCTGCAATGATCCAAATGTGTCATTTGATCCCCGGAAAGGCAGACCACGTTCAGCTAATGTTTGAATAACAGCTATAACACGCTGCAAGGCACGTAGCCAGTATTCACGCTCCCCTTTAATTTGTTCTTCCAATTTTTATGTCAATCCAAAGCCCTGTCTTTGATTTAAATATGTCAACACTGAATCTCTGTGAGTAGTGCTATTTTCATGTTGTTCAATTAAAACAGTATTCCGCCAGTCACTAAATCCATCTGCGGCAAACCGGGATGTTGCAAACAAGTTTGCAAAAAGTTTGCAAACAAAACAGTACACAAACCCTGTTGATGGTGAATACAGTAGCCATTCTCAAGTGTATTTCTCACCATTCGCTTTCATGCCGAAAAATATTTTTTGTGGACAATATCTTGTTTGTTTGCCATTGGTAAAAGTCCGATGATTTCTCAAATGGCCCAGTGTGGTGTTGACAGTCATTTGGTCCACGATCTATCCAGTAAGCTACATCATCGGTACTGAAATCAACCAACATACCAGGATCTTTTCTCCTATTATTTACAGCATGAGCAGGTTCAGTCTCTGACACATCCACACCTTCTAGAACAATGTCTGTTTTACCACCAGGAGTAGGATGATCAGTTACAGTCTCTGACACATCCACATGTTCTGGAATGGTGTTTGTTTCACCAATAGAAGAAGGGTCAGTCTCTGAAACACCTACAGGTTTTGGAACGATGTCTGTGCAACTGAGAGAAGATGTTGCTTCTGATGGATTCGCTTTGAAAAATGTCAGCTTTGGAAGTTTTTGGGAAAAATTCACTAGTTTTTAGTTTCTTTTCTTCCGTCAGTTTACGTTTCTGTGCTTCACTCAGTTGGTTACATTTCATCCTGTCCCTTATCTCAGTTATCTGAACTTAAAAAAAAAAATTACACAACATACACTATTTTTATGTGTATATATATATATAAGAAAGAAAAAACAAATCAAGGACGTATAACTCAGAAGAATATATCAATAATAAAACATAAATTTATTGCAATACACGACAGGATCTGATTTCCTCGCATTATTTCAATCTACCTTAGTAGGACGCCCCCCTGGGTTAGGTGGGGATAAGTAATAAAAAGAGAACAGAAAAACGGGGGAAGAGTGTGTAGTGGGGTGTAAGGAAGTCTAACAAAGTTCTGATTTTTCCCATGATGACTACTTCGATGCTTTTTTTGAAATATCAAATGTCAAATATTTTCCCCAAAAAATCCCATTTTTTTTTGGTGCCCCCTGCTTTGCTGGTGCCCTAAGCACGTGCTTCATCTGCCTATTGGGTAATCCAGCCCTGCTTGTGATTATAATAGGCGACAATGTTCATTATGGTCAACATGTATAACTTCTCAGTGGACTTCGTCCTGGTGACCTGTTTTCCATGCATTCTGAGCCAGATTCTTTTAGCTGAGCGGTGTTCAGCAAAGGAACGGAGGAGGGTGTGCACCAAAGCTGACTTTCAGATACCTTTTTGTGTCTTCCTTTATTTTCTGGATGACCAGGAGTCAGTTCAGTGCCCAGCATAAATTAGAGTAACCTTGAGCCTGGTCTAACTCATGCTAAGCTACAACAGCCAGGAATAGCTGAAATGCAGCACAGTCTAGCTAAACCCTTGCTTTGCCTAAACCAAGGTCTGCTATCATGGCAGCTCTTTGTTGACTGGGGCACCTTCTTATGTAATGGATAATCCTGTGGGATTTGTCTATCCTCATTGTGTTGTGAGAACAGAACAGAGAATCTGCCCTTCTATATATGAAGAATGAACAATTTTCTGCCTGCAGCATAATTTTGTTGCCAATCATGGGAAATTAACTTTCTCTCATTCTTCTTTTCTTTTATAGCAAAAATGAAATCATGCTGAACAATAAGAATCTCTTTCTAATCTCTTATTCTGGGTTTGTCTTGTGTAAATGAGTGCACACTTAGGCACTAATGTTGATCCCATTGAAGTCAATGGCAAAACTGTTGATTTCAGTGGGGCCAGGATATCACCCTAAATATTAGATTCTCAATCCCATTGAGAGAGTGATATTGCACCACTGTAAAACTGGTGTAACGGAATGGAGACTCAGGCCTGCCATGTTGTATACAACACCAATTCTTTCTTGTAGCAACCTCAAGATGATGACACCAGTTGTTGGAACACCTGCCTATAGGCTGTTGCTGCTTATGGCTTGGAGCAATATTCACCTTCAATCATGGAACCCCCATGTGGGTGCTGTTAAATTCATTCCTGCTTTTGCTGCTGTGGCTCATCTAGTTTTCATGGTGGATTTCATCGAAAGTTTATTGTTTTGCCATGTGATACTTAGTGACCTGCATTCTAAGTGAGCATTTGTGGCACTTTAGAGACTAACCAATTTATTTGAGCATGAGCTTTCGTGAGCTACAGCTCACTTCATCGGATGATGCATCCGATGAAGTGAGCTGTAGCTCACGAAAGCTCATGCTCAAATAAATTGGTTAGTCTCTAAGGTGCCACAAGTCCTCCTTTTCTTTTTGCGAATACAGACTAACACGGCTGTTACTCTGAAATAAGTGAGCATTATTTTTCAAAGCACTTTGAGTCGTTTTTTCTTTCCAAAATAGCTAAATTTTTCTTGCTGTACTTTGAATTGAAACTATGTAGAATGCACCCCCAGAAGCCTGTGCCTTTCACAAACTTCTGATTGACGAGCATTTGGAAATTAGAGTGTATATAAAATATTTTTGAAGGAGCTAGTCAGTTCACTGTCTTGTGGTAAGCAAGCAAGTCCAGGTATTCCACACACAGGAATAAATTTAAGATTATTTTATTCCAAGCTCCAGAAAATTCTGCTTCACACAGTGTTGGTTTTTTCCCTACTTTTGATCCTACTCGCAGAACTGGGATTCACTGGCAATTGCTATCTGGTGGCTTAAAGGTATAAGTGTTGTATCAAGATTTTTTTCAGGGCTGAGGTCCTGTCTTCCTGGTGCAATTTTTTGCTCCTGGTTAATGGCAGGTGCAAATCTCACTACAGATCAAAAACTTAAATATTTTAGTGATAGGATTTTTATCCAAAACTAATTGTGGACACACCTGCATTCACACAAAAAGTGTCTGGGTGGAAGCTGAATAAAAATAAGGTGCTTAATATACATTATTAAAATTATGTTTAATAATAAGGCTAATGTAGTAATTAAATGGGTCTGTTTTAAATTGTAGAGTCTGATGCTGTTTTTGAAAGCAGGAAGACTAATATTTTAAATTCTAGTAGTTTGTTTGTACAATGAAGAGAATTATGTTGTATATTTAATATGAGCCGATGACTTCCCTGTTTTGCAGGTTTTGCTGATCTTTGCAAAAGAAGACAACCAAAGTGATGGGTTCTGGTGGGCTTGTGATAGAGCTGGATACAGGTGCAATTTTGCCAGAACACCAGAGTCAGCGCTTGAATGCTTTCTTGATAAGCACCATGAAATAATTGTCATAGATCACAGGCACTCCAGACACTTTGATGCAGAAGTGATCTGCAGGTAACTTAATGGACGTTGTGCTTCTATTGAATGCATTGCAGAATACCACATTGAATGGGCATAACAAAATCAAGACTTGATGACATACAGAAAACAAGTCTGGAGACTGAGGACAGGGATTGCAGTGCTCCATCACAAAGGAAAAAATAAAAACTGCTTTGGCGGCTAAGACAGCAATAGAAATAATTACATTTAGTAAATGAAGACACCTATTGTCAATATGGCTGACACATGACTAATAAAGCCATCATTTCTGGTTCATAGCTTCCATGGGATCTTGAACGAGAGCTAACATGAAATCCTTCCTCACAGTGTGTGGTCATCACTTTTAGACTTACTCCTCTGAGAAATTAATCCTGCGTCAACAGTTGGAGCAGCAGGGTCTAATGGAACACTGTCATTTGTCCCTGTGTCTGCCACACTTAACTGATGGCACTTCAGTGAAGTTCATGTCATTCTTTGCAGGTGTGTGGTACTCTGTGTCAAAGCAGCTGCTTCTAAGTTTACAACCATTTATCATTAGGGTTCTGGGTAAGGTGTCTTTTCAACTGTTTCATTTATTTTACACATCATGTCATGCTCTGTGCCTTTTCATCGGAGCATAATGGGCAAATTTTGGCATGCTTATCCTGAATAGTATTTTACCATTCAGACACTTTTATTTATTTCAGTAGAACTACTCCCAGAGTAAGTGATTACCCGGTGGAAGTATGGCATGGGCGGTGTAAGGCTAGCCCCCAGCCCTGCCCCTTCTGTGCCCCCCCACCAGAGACCAGAGCCCTCTACTGCAGTCAGTGGGACTACCCCAGGCTAGTGCCCCCAGCCCCTGGAGCGCTGCGAACACTGCAGAGGGGGAGCCGCAGTGTGTGAAGCAGGACAGGGCCTGGGGGCGGAGCGTGGGTGAGGCCACGCCTGACTGTTTGGGGAGGCACAGCCTCCCTCAGCCTATGATACCCACTGCCCATGAAGTAAGGGTTTCTGAATCTGGTCTAATGTTAATGTGTATTTAAAAAAATAAATAAAAAGAGGACCCTTTATTACTCGCATGTGGAGGGAAAGCCATTCCACATTTGACAATCATATAATTCCAGTGTCTCGACAAGATGCACCTAGTGGTGGTTAGACCAGTAGCAAAAGGCCTATTTATGTAATGGTTCACATATGGTACAATTTATGGAAAGTAGAGCTGGTCTAACAGATTACCCTGTACCTATCCCTGTAAAAACAGGCTTGTTCCCTTAAGTACATTTTCTAGTGTTCAGTCGACTTTCTGAAGTCCTAAGCAATGAGGCTTCCACCACTTTCCTTCTGAAACTATTTCACAGTTTAACATCACAATTTTCCTAATATTCAGCCTACACTTTTTCCCCTTTTTACCATTACTCCTAGTTTCTACCATTACTTTCTTACCATCATTCCTAATTATACCTTCTTATGCCATGTTAAATAATTGCTCTCTCTGGTGTTTAACTCTACACGTATTTGTAAACTGTGGTTGTCCACCCTTCTAGTAGTTGTTTAACCAAGCTATGTGTGTAGTTTCAGCTTTCCTCACAATTTAGTTGCCATATTTTTTGTGTGTGCTCTTCTCTGAACAGCATCCAATTTGTCAATGTGTCCCTGATATCTTGATGTCCACATATTCTGCTGGGAACAAATCCATCATGATAGATGGGTTTGAGGATTTGCAGAAGGGGCAGGTACTAGAGATCCCATGAATCCTTTGTCTATGAGGGGAAAAGCATGTTCTGTCTGCAGGGATCCAGGGCTGTGGCAGTTGAGGGCTGGCCTCTCTTGGTGCTCTGTACTTTCCTCCCACCATGCAGAAGAGCTCCTTGTAGGAGCTGTGCTGCCATTGACGTACCTTTCACACCTCTGCACTATACCACTAATAGGAGTAGGAAATGTAGATGAGTTAATGCTTCATTTTCTTATCTTCCACCAAGATCTCTTTTTTGGCAGTCAACTAATGGAAATGGGGACCATGCCATTTAGACTGACTGCTCCCCCTTCAAGCCCACCATACAATCCACACATCCATGGAATCCAAACCAAATGAAATTGGTAAGAAGAGGCTTCTCCAGGTTCCCTTGGATTGGACAGATGCAGCTTCCTGCTCTCCCAAGCTTTGGGGCTTTCGGCCCAGAATTGAGGGAATGTGAACCTAATATCCTTAAACACCCAAAAATGAAATGGATAAAGTGCAAAAAATGTTTTTTGGGTGTCCTCTACCATTTTCCAGGCTTGACCTTATAGAATCTTCTCTGAGGCTTTGTTCATTTTCTGTTATATAGAAGATGAAGAAATTCAAAGTTGTCAATAAAGCATGACGTGATATAGTGTAACACAGGACTTTTCTTCTTTCAGGTCAATCCGTGCTACAAAGCCATCAGAACACACTGTGATACTTGCTGTTGTTCCCCGCATGTAGGTATTTCTTTATATTTTTGTGAAAGTTTTGTTCTGTTCAAGAAAATGCTTATTATATACAACCAGTAATAATGTTTGCATGGTGATGCATGGTCTCATAGGCCACAAGCTACTATTTGTAGCTTGGGGGGAATATATTATCACTAGGAGTATTTGTTTTTACATGAAGAGGAAAAGATCAGTGATGTCATCTTGTGGTAGGTTCATTTGTTCTATCTGATTGCAGACAAAACTATAACTTATTGCATTCTCTCACTGAAGAGGGTCATAACATAATGGCCTAAATATCAGAAAAATATAGAAAGCTATGATGGAAGTTTTAGAAAGAATGTTGTAGCCAATAACATCTTGGGGTTGTGGGGTAGGGTGGAGTAGGAGAGACTAAGAAATACAAATATAAGAAAACTTAACAGTAGCTTGATAGAAGGAGGGTCCCATGTTCACTGGAACATTTCCTGAAGTCTTTACTCTGACTTTACTCTTTGCTCTCTTTTTTTACACAGTTCACTCAGACAAAATTCCCATTGACTTCAATTGAGAGTGTCGCTTTAGTAAGGACTGAGGACCTCTTCCTGTAAGGGAGTGGTTCTCAACCAGGGGGTCGCAAGCAGGTTTCAGGGGGTCTGCCAAGCATGGCTGGCATCAGGCTTTCTAGGGCCCAGGGCAGAAAGCCAAGTCCTGCTGCTTGGGACTGCAGCCAGGGACCCTGAGCGCCACCACCAGGAGCTGAAGCCTAAGCAACTTAGCTTTGTGGTGCCCCCTGTGGCATGGGGGCCCAGGCAATTGCCCTCCTTGCTACCTCCTAATGCCGGCCCTGGCTTTTATCTGCAGAAAACAGTTGTTGTGGCACAGGTGGGCCATGGAGTTTTATAGCATGTTGGGGGGGAGCAGTGGGGGCTCAGAAAGAAAAAGGTTGCGAACCCCGGCTGTAAGGCATTTGATTAACTCCTGTAAGGTGCCGAACAAGCTTAGCTGTCACTTTAATCAGAAAGCTCCTGGGGAATTAAGGGCATATAGCACCTCACAGAATTCCTTCCTAAGTATTGGACTTAGGGTTTGACTTGTTATGAGGAACACAACTAATATTAGTTATTAGCTTGAAGGGAAAAAGAGAGAGAGGACTACTAACAAAGATAAGGAACAGAACAATAATGAAGAGCCCATGAAATTTCTAAGAGCTCAATTAAAAGTTCTAGAGATGCATACAAATTATATTGCATTATTATTCCAAGGCAATCTTGTCAAATGTAATCATGGCTCTGCATACTGTATAACTAAAGGAAATAGCGAGATCATTTTCCCCACCTAGTTTTGTTTGTTTTCTAGTTGTGTGACCAGGTAATTGTAACAAAATAAAATATAAAAGATTTATTGTTCATTTCCACTCTTTAATGAATAACTAACTTTAGGCTTTTCCCCCCTCTGTGTATACCGCTATCCTCTTTATATTAGCTTTCTTTGTAAAAAAAAAAACAACACCCTTCTTTCTAGCTGAAAAGAGCCAGCACTTCTCTTGAACATCTAGCAGGTTTGCTGCAATAGTGATGAAAAAATATAGTAACTGCCCCCAATATCCGTCATGATATCGTACAGTTAGTACATTGCTGTAGGTATCTAAATATACGCATCAGGAAGAGCTACATCTGCAAATGGATTACATGATATATACTATGATTATATTTTGTGCCATGTTATTCTTCCTACAGTCTGTTTAGATAACTGTCAAGTTATCCTAGTTTTCATTTTGGATGATATATTCTGCTTTGCTGTAGATCTGCTGACCAAGAAGAGACCTCTGTTCTTCCCCTTCTCCATGCAGGCTTTGATAGGGTATGTAATTTACTAAAGAATCAGGATAATTTCTACAAACACTTCAATTTTCTATAACTAAAAATGAGTTTATGAATTATTTATGTAAAGCACAAGTTTGCTTGTATCACATGTTAACTTCACTGTATTGATGAGAAAATAACTTCATCAGACACTGTTCCTTTGTGTTTAACTGGAAATGTCTAAGTATACACCCTAAGAAAAACCTATAGACCTACCCAGTGCTTCCACAAGGAGCAGGAATGTTGGTAGATGAATTCCTTTTGGACTGGGCAAAATTCCCTGTGACAGGTGGCAGGATAAATATCGTGCAGTTGGGTGTCCTTTGCTGCTCCTTTGAAAAAGAAGCAGCTTGGACCCCTGGTTTGTATGTGTTGTATGTCACAGCATGCACTCTAGCCATCAGGAGATCTGTTCATCCCTCTAGCTGGCAGCCCATACCTACCTGGGGCAAATGGGGCCTAATCCAACTCTAACTGAAATCAGTAGGCAGCTTTCCATTGTTTTCAGTAGAGATTGAATCAGGTTGGTTGTGTGATATTGACACTTTGGCCTGCAAACTCTCTTGGTGCTCTGGGTATTAGATTCTGCCACATTGCTTGCACAAAGGGAGGATGAAAAAGGTATCTATGCCTTCTTGCTCTCCATGGCACGTGTGTAGCTGAGAACTGAGAAAGTAGCCCTGTAAAGAAAGAGATGATAATCCAAGAGCTAGGGTGCTAGCCTGGGACTCTGGAGACCCAACTTCAATTCCCTGCTCTCCCACAGACTTGCTGTGTGACTTGGGCAAGGCTCTGTCTTTTTGTACCTCAGTCCCCATCTGTAAAATGGGGATATAGCACTTCCCTATCTCACAGGAGTCTTGTGAGGCTAAATGCATTAAACACTGAGGTGCTCAGATGCTGTGGTAATGGGGGGGGGGGGGGAAGGAAGCAGATAAGTACCTAAGACAGATGTCAGCCCATACATTTGCAACTTTAATTTTCTTTTTAGTTTAGTGTATTGTTAAAAAAAAGTTTAATTCTTTTAGTCACATTCTTTAGTATTAAATATTTTTGTCTCAAGGTTTCCTTTTCTCCTAATGCCTAGTATTTTGTCCAAAGAGTTCAAGGCCGTATGCTCTGTAGGCTAGATTGTGACGTAATGTGCAGTCCTGAGCAAGGGTGGTGCATAACCACCCTAGAAGTAGCTGCAGGAGGCACTCTGGGTGACTCTGACACACAGCTCTAAGTCATCATTCCCTTCCTGTGCTGGCCTTATACCAGCAGCAATCTAACCCTCCCTGCACTAGTTCAGCTGTACTGGATAGTGAAAAGGGAGGGTTGATCCAAAGCCTTACCTGTTCTCTCCCACCTGCCTCAGGCAGGAGAGCAAGTGGGTGCAATCACTTTCTCTTGCATGGCCAGACCAAAGGTAGGGGGGTTCAGGAAGGCTTCTTAAAACAGATGGGAAGAAAAATTGGAAATGAAGCAAGGAATTCCTTTGACTAATTTTCTGAAAGATTATTGTCATCATAAATCTTTCATGATCCTCTGCCTTTTAGAAATGAATTAGATACTTCTCCATGATCATTTAACATAATCCATTAGCCTGTTGTCATCACCATTGAATGTTGAACATCATTTTCTCCTTATCGCCCTAATTATTTGTAATGCTGTAATCAGTATGTCAGCATGATTTTATTGATTAGTACCAACTTCCAACATCAACTTGTTAAGACTGGATCCCACTGAATATCTTCCTGACATACTTTATGTTGCCATTATGACCTTTCTTATCAGCATTGTTTTCAAGTTCTAGAATGTCAGATATCAGAGTCTACTTCCGTCACAAGCAGAGGGGAGCATAGCAATTTTTCATGCTTGAATGGGTATCCACAGGCTCCAAATCCATTGAAGGGAGAAAAGATCAGCATTGTGCACACACACAGACTAAGATTTTTATCAGCAAAAGAATGAAATCAATTTTTGGAAAAACAGATTCATTTTGTTCAAATTATATGTATCTCTTTTTACTATTTCCCTTTTTGATAGCTTTATTTATCATTTCACTATTCATTATGATATTGGCATGCAGCACCTGCCTTTTACCTATCCTTCCTTAATTTTTTTCTTGGAAAAACACTATTTGACAGTTTTGTGTACCTTACTGCTAGTTCTGGTGGTTGTCTGGGTTTTTTGCACATGTGTAAATTTTAAAAAAATTAACGACGGGTTTAATCCTGCACCCAGTAAAGCTATTGATAATGATACTGAAGTCCTTTGTAAAATGCTTTGAGATCTACTGATGAAAAGCTCCATAAAAGAGGTAGGTGTTTGTTGTATTATTATTTACTGGAGTTTTGTTGTTGACTTCCTTGGGTTCTGGACTGGGCTCAAAGGCTTGTTGAAAGCTGATTTAATCTCTTCTTGGAATAGTTTTGTCACCTAATCAATAGATTTTCTACAGTACAGTATATTATGTCTATGTCCTATAGCGATGAATAATTCTGGACTTTTGCTTAAGAGTTTTTCTGTATCTTTGTCATTTAAGTGACCTTTAAATTATCTTTATTGATCCGATGAAATTGAATCACTGCCTTTGGGGTTTGCTTTCGATAGATTCTGTGATCAGTTCCTATAAGATGAGTAATTTTGTTCGTCATCTAGTGCATAGCTGCTACAGTGACAGAAAATCTTCTGGACTGTATGTAGGGACAGTCATCTTTTAGGAGTTATTTCTGTTCATTGTTTCATAAAGTGGCCAGGAACCTTTTTCCTATGCCATAGACTGATGGAAACCAAGTCACCTAAACCTATTGCTTTCCAATTCTTGCTTCTTGGGGTGAAACACTTCCAGAATACCTTCTGAAGTCTTCTTTTTTTCCTGTATATTTTTTGCTATTTTTTAAATTTTTAATTAAGTGGCTTTCATGTGTTCATGTTGGTATAATAAATGTTTGTGCTGATTCCCTTTTATACTCAAAAGTATTATGAGTATATTAATGAATTAATTGCATAAATCTGCTGCACATCCATAAAAGAACAGAATATGTCTTTCTCCGCAGGGTGTCCCTTTCTGGTTCTGTCAGTTCTTTTCATCAGTGCTGATCTGATTTTCTTCTGCAGCATTGTATCCTTATGTGATAATACTGAACAGGCTGAGTCTTAAATTCTGCAAAGTGTAAATTGTCCTTTAAATTGTACATCTTCCTCTAAAAAGGACCTTTGATGTTCTTCAAAGGATTGGCTGCTGGCTCTCAATCCAGCTGTCCTTCCACAAAACTAACAACATTAGAGAAGTGTTCTTTGTGGAGAACACAATAAAATCTGTACAAGCATTTATAAAATGGTTGTTTCAGAGCTTCTCCAACAGTTTTACTAGTCCACAGTTCACTGTAACTGAAGTCAAAGAGCCAGATTCTTCTCCCTGATAGTCCATGGCAAAACTCTCTGGACTTCAGTGGGAGTAGGACTGGACACTGCATTTGCCAGAGAGGGGGTGGGGGAAAGAAACCAAAACTATTCTCACTTTTGGAGTGTACAGATATTACCCTTTGCTATCCTCTTTTTCTTGACCACTGTCAGTGTGCTCAGTACTTCAAGCATCCTTTATAAGCCAGGTTCTACCAGCCATACTCACTCTGAGGAGTCCCTTGGACTTCAGTGAGACCAGACATAGACTATGCTTCCTACTCCTTGTCAGTTTTGGACCACTGTGAGTTTACTTGGAATAAAGTGGAAGGCCAGAGCTCATCATAGATTAATTTGGTATTAATGTGAATGTTGTACATGTTTCTCAGGAATTGCATTTCTTTTCAGAAATAAGTGATGGACATGCAATATGAAAAGTCCTTGAATATAGGTTCTGGATCAGGTTTTTATTTTTTATAATTATCTATTTAGCTGGCTTCCTAAAACCAAACAAGAAAATGTGCAGTTACTTAGCATATTACCTCACTTGCTTTGTACATTACTGTCTTGACAATTAGAAAATCAATACGGTGGAAAAGATTGTTAGAGCATTAGCCACAAAGGGTACAAATAAAGGTTCAAAAGATTAGTGCTTCTAGGCACAGAAGTATAAATAAAGGTTTTAAAGTAATCAGACTTTTCATGTACTGTCTCTGATTCTTTTCCAGAGATTTATGGAGAATAGCAACATAATTGCCTGTTACAATGAATTGATTCAAATAGAACATGGGGAGGTGCGGTCACAGTTCAAACTACGGTATGTAGAAGCATAAAAAAAGGAACATAAACTTTTATTGTCCAATTACTTGTTTGTGCATCTGCCTCCTTGTGGGTTCCATATAGTGCATTCTGTATTAAGAAAACCTGTCAGAGGTGATTATCTGTCATCATCAGTTCTGATGGGTTTTTGTGCCCCACTTGCCTTGATATGGCTTATAGTGAATTTAGGCCACAGAGCAGCTCCCCTTGCTAAAGTCCCCCCTATAGATCAGAGTGAGGCCAGTTTGTATATTTATCATTCTAGTAGAAATAGTGTGAAAGAGCAATGTACAATTCAGCTGGTGGGATGGGGTTTGATATGAAATTTGTCTGGTCTTGTATACATGGTGCATACACTATAGAGCCAGATCCTGATGCCTTTTTACTCCGTTTTTACTCATTCTTCATTTGGGCAAACCTGTATTGATCTCAGTGAGAGTTTGGCCTCTGTAAGGAATTGTCCCACAGTGATGGTATTCCATTATAGGCTTTGTTTACTATAACTAGTTTAACAGAGAGGAGGGGGGTGCAAAATATATACTCAATCATCTATGTATATAAAAAACTTGTTGAAATTCATAAATAAACTGTAGCAGAAAAGAAACAATATTTAATCTTTCCAAAAATATTGAAGAGGAGTAATCTACAGTGGTGACCTCTGGAAAAGAACATCTTTTCTGTGAATTTGAGTTCACGCTACGGGAATGCTATAAACATCTTTCATTAATTGGCCTGATCTGTCACCATTTAAGTCAGGGGTCTCAAACATGCGGGCCGCATGCAGCCCCCAGGGTTATTTCCTGTGGCCCGCAGGCTCCCCGTGGCACCCCCGCCCCCTCAGTATTTACCTAGAGTGGCTTTGGCCCGGCATGCACTGGGGGCAGGAGGGATTTCAGGGAAGGGGTTGGAATGGGGGCAGGGAAGGGGTGGGAAGAGGCGGGGCAGAGGCAGGGCCTCACGGAAGGGGTGGAGTGGGGGTGGGGCCAGGGCAGCAGGTTGGGGGGTCAGTGGTGTGGCCTTTGGGCTAGTGTACTAGTCCTCATGTGGCCCTCGTGGTCATTTGAGTTTGAGACCCCTGATCTAAGTCAAGGGAAGCAGGAGCAGACCCTCTTTGCAGAATCTACTTTTGCTGTTGAGATGGAGATCTTATAGGGCCTTGATTTCAAATGGATCTTGAGGTGGCCTTGAAATTTGCACAGACATGCATGCTATTGGATGGTGCTTGGAAGGGCACGCCAGTTGCTACAGTGTGAAAGCAAAGGAATGCAGAATTCAAAATAAGTGTAATAGAAAACTTAGCTTTTACCAAAAGCTTAATATAGCCTATATACAGTATCTGTAGTCTGCAATAAGGCTAATGGAATATAATCTGTAATGACAGTATAAAAGGAAACCTTTCCAGATAATTTGGTGTAATTTTCAGACTACCACCTCCAAACTCCGTATGTACTATGATAATAGAAACCTATTGCCCAGCAATGTGCAAAGTCAGAATCCTGCCAGAAACTCTAAATACATGAAAATACCCCACTTAACTATTCTCAGATAGTTAATTAATCAACCTAATTAGTCTTTTTGCACCCTTTAGGCTTAAAACTTCCTAGGCACTTGCATCTGTCTTCTAGCACTTGTCTGGAATGTACAGGAATAAAGAAACAAAGAATTATTGAAAAGGTCAATAGGCATTAGTTTCATGTCAGCACATTGAACATGCCCTCATACTTCCTGTTCTGTTTTCATTTGTTTCCTTTTCCAATAATCATTACATCCTGCTTGTTTAAAGAGTACAAAAACAGGATGTTTTAATATGTTTTAGCTCCCAAGGACAGAACACTAATACAGCCTGAACACCTCTGCATGAACAGTATTAATAATTAATATAAGTAATTGAATTCCCAAATCCAGGGAACATGACTCATATTGATTATCAAATTTTTCTACAGCTTTATTGAAAATAAAGCCATCAGCCAAAGAAAGCTTAAAGTCCTCATTACACTTTGAAGCCAGTGTGTTAGTCTCTGGAGGTAATTAATCTACCAAATCTATTGATATTCTTTCACCTAGATTATTTAAAGGAACTGAGCTGTGCTCTCCCCTTTCTCATTCAGTTTTCCATAGTTTTACAAGCCATAACAACAAAATGAATACTAAAGCACTGCTTTTTTGCATCTGCATAACTCTAAAAAATGTCTTCAACTTAAAAAGAAATAATTTGGAAAGCAATTAGTCTTTAATCAAATAGAAACTGTGTTGATATTTTCATCCACTTAATGTGAGTTGCACCTCAATGTCCCCTCTGAATTTGGACCACAGAGACTGCATTAATGTAGCTCTGTTTCAAACAAACTGGTACCTTTTTACATTCATCAGCAGGGTCTACATGGGACAGTTAGAGCTCAGCAATTTAGTAAGCTTTACAAATTGCACCCTCCTGTCACACTCTGCTACATCATGTAGACAAGCTCTAAGTGGATCTAAGTTGCTGTAACTAACACTGAGGAACCAGAAGACGTGTGTGTAGTAGGCAAGCACCTAACATGAGGGTGTAAAAAGATACAAGGTAAAGCAGACTGACCCTGGACTTGAATTTACACTATTTTCTTGCTTTGTAAGGCATAAGTTACGTAAACTTAGTCCCCCTTAAACCTGTTTCCACCCACTTGAATATTACTGATGTGTATCTTACACCTTTCCCACACCTCTCAGTTTGACTCTACCTGGTTTTAAATCCATGACTTTAACTGAGAATGATCTCAAAAAGCCACTTAATGCCTGGATGCAACGTTTTTTGGTTTGCTATGGCCAATGCAGACATCAGCCCCCAGAGACCGCTTCATTTAACTCAGTGATACTCAGATCTCAGTGGTTCAGGAGCCAAATTATTGATTAACATTATCCAAGTGTGAATTCATTGTTTCATGTACTATTGTAATATAGAGTGTGTGTGTGTGTGTGTGTGTGTGTATAATATATAGATTATGTGGGTGGGTGTATATACATCTGTATATACACTCACCCACATAACCTATAGGTAGGTGGTAGTGAGGTGCCCACAACCCTGGGTACCCTTGGGGAATTTGTTGTGAGATTATGTGTATATATACCAGGGTTGTGGGCACCTCACTACCACCTACCCTTAGCATGAGGAATTTTTGTCTGTGCCTGGTGAGGGTCAGCTCCCTGCCTCCATCAGTCACAGGCAACACAAGCCCTGACCTCTAGGCCTACTCAGGCCATGTGCTCTCTTTACAGGCTAGTGAAAGGAGCACCCCAAACTGCCAAAGCATCTCCCTGGAGTGTCCAGACCCTGTTCCACTGGACACTTGGAGTATGCACAGAATCGCTGCTTCCAAAGAAGCTATACAGCACTGAGTACGTGTTTCACCTCAGATCACTGCTCTGCTAAACACGTAGATATGTTTATAGTGAAAACAAGTAAATTTATTTAACAAGGTAGAGAGATTCAAGTGATTGCAAGTAAAGATATTGGAAACAGGTTTCAGAGTAACAGCCGTGTTAGTCTGTATTCGCAAAAAGAAAAGGAGTACTTGTGGCACCTTAGAGACTAACCAATTTATTTGAGCATGAGCTTTCGTGAGCTACAGCTCACTTCATCGGACGCATACCGTGGAAACTGCAGCAGACTTTATATATACACAGAGAATATGAAACAATACCTCCTCCCACCCCATATTATATTTAATATTATATATAATAATATTATTAAGATAAGCTGTTACCAGGAGGACAGTGGGGTGGGACCATTTTTCATATTCTTGTGTATATATAGCTTCATTTCCAGATCCCGAGAATGAGTGTAGCTCACGAAAGCTCATGCTCAAATAAATTGGTTAGTCTCTAAGGTGCCACAAGTACTCCTTTTCATATTGGAAACAGTTGATTACATATCAAAATCATAAAACACATTCTAGAACCTAGACTTGCTTAACTAGATACTTTCATGTCTTACAGAGCAATGCTCACCCAAAGCCCTTGAAGTGTTTTACAGCCAGGCTTGGCTGTGAACTTCCATTCATGAGACAAGTCACGCTGTCAGCTTGCCTCCTCAGTGAAAGATTCAGGATGTAAAATTTCCTCTCAAAGATTTTGCAATTTTTTGATTAGCATTTGGCTCAGTATGCAAACAAGCATCCATTGTGAGATATGCAATGCCCAATACATACATGACCAGACAGAGAGAGAAGCATCTGTTACATCCTGCTTGAAAGTAACCTGTCTGAGACATGTCATAGACTCATAGAATCATAGAATTTCAGGGTTGGAAGGGACCTCAGGAGGTCATCTAGTCCAACCCCCTGCTCAAAGCAGGACCAATCCCCAATTTTTGCCCCAGATCCCTAAAATGGCCCCCTCAAGGACTGAACTCAAAACCCTGGGTTTAGCAGGCCAATGCTCAAACTACTGAGCTATCCCTCCCACACCACCTTCTGGTTACCTGCCTCAAGAAAATAATTTTCTGTACAGACACGTAACTCCTTTAATATTGTCTGTACATACATTTCACAGTGATTTATTATGATCAGTAGGCCACTGGCTCTTGGTAGAGACCTCACATATTACCCTTCAGTGAATTACTATGCATGTATCTGACCCTAGGGATCCCTGTAAAACTCTCTGCCCCCCCCAGCAGTGCCTGCTGCCAGTTGACGCCAAGAGATTCCTGAGTCTCATAAACCAAGATCCTTTTGTGGCAACATTTATATAGTTATGAAATAGTCACACAAAAGTAAACTATTTCTGTGTGCTGGCGTCATTACTGCCAGCTTCTGACTCAGAGATGTGCATATTTCTCAGAGTGGAGGATTTTTTTCCAGTAACTTAGTGTTTTTGAAGGAATTCATCATAAAACACTGAATAACTGTCATTAAACTCACTTTGGGTAAAAGAACAGGGTCAGGCTGTCTAGAGTGGCTCATGAAAATGGATGCCAACCGCAGGGCAGACTGTTACAAACCAGGGTACAAACCCCAACCTGGTTGTGTGTTCTATAAGTAGATTCCATCAGCCAAGTATCAAGTGTGAATTCCTCAAGCACTAGAAATGCCTTAACATGGAGTCACAGACAGCCCTCTTGGGCATTCCAATCTGTCATGCCACCCAGACAAGCCTGCCTTTGTTATGGATGTTCCCTTATACCAAAAATCACAACAATATTCACATTGCTCCCAGTCCCAAAGGACCAGTCACTTACCCCAAGTCAGTTGTACCTTAGATCTCTCACCAAAGACACCACTTGTAGACAATCCTATAATAAACTAAAGATTTATTAACTAGGAAAAAGAAATGAGTTATTTGCAAGTTTAAAGCAGGTGAACATACACACACATGAGTTACAGTTATAGGCTTCAAAAGGTAATAGAAGCTGTTGTAATGTTCAAACTGTGTGTCCTTTAGATCCAACCCAAGCTAACCTGCTTGGGGATCCCTTGTTTAAGCTTAGAAATGTTGCCTTCTCCAAATTCCAAGCAGCATAGTGATACATATCAGGGATTTTTATTCCCTTCCCCCAGAGTTCAAACTGTGGTGGGATGTGGGTTTGTGAACATCCCCTCTTCATGGGGGTGGGAGGGAAGCAATCGGCAAAGTCTTTTGTCCATTGATGTTCTACAATGGTTCGTCTGTTATCAATAGGCCTTCTCTTGTTGGGCAGGAAATGATACCTTTTATGGTAAACTAGTAATTCATACTAGGTAATGCTTCTCTCCTGACTGTAGGGGGTGTCCAGCTTCATAGCTAATACCTTTGTAGTTACAGAGAAAACATTTAAATATTATCTTTATAACATGGGATAGAGATGATATAAGTGAGATTAATTAATGCAGCAACTCACACACATTTCATAAAGTCCAAATACTAAACCCATTCTTATAAATATAACACATCTGTTTTAACCATGCTAACACACAGGTGAGCCAGACTGGTTTCCAGTTAATCATTTGTCAGTTTTCAGTGGGGCCTAGGGGCCTTGGCATGAGCTGGCACCTGGTCTGCCATCATCACAAACAGTTTGATGGTGTTTATGTTCACTTGACTTTTCTCTTCACTCCAAATGCATTTCATCACACATTTCATGGGACTGTTTGTTTCTGGTAAACAAAGAGAAAATTTTGCTTGGTATAACAATATGTCTTGAACAGACATTTGTAGGCTTATTGGGGTTTTTTGGAACATTGACTGCTGAAATGAAAACTGAGACATTTCAGGTGTCCTGGGACCCAGAGGAAGCCATATGAAAGACTAAGACTGGACATATGATCACTGTAAGGGAGGGAGAGCATTGTCTTCCTAGCTAGGAACCTCTCCACACAAAAGAACTTTACAGGTTCTGCTGCCATTGAATCTTTCCAAAGGACCCAGGATTTGGCCCAATGACTTCAGCAGGTGGTACATAAAAAATCAAAGAAAAATTTTGAATTTCTTGTTTGAGTCCCTATTAAAGTTATTGAAACCAAATATTTTGGTCTTAATAATAACATGGGAGCAATTAAAACATTCCAATTTGTTTTCTTGCAGGGAGACTGACTTCATATTTCTTTTAGCTACTAGTAGATCAGCAAGGGGGCTCCCAACACTTCAAACTAAATTAGTTGTACTATATGATTTTTAAAAAAACCCCATACATAATGAAGCTGTTTTGGTTGCCAGGACATCCTTTATAAAGTGGTGATCAACTCAGGAGAGACTTTTGTTGGGTTTCCTTGGTAATTTGTGTATTGTTCGCAAGATACACATGCCTGAAAACTGAAATGTTGCTTTCTTAACCTTGGCCCTGACTAAACTATTATCCAAAGGCCTATTATTACGGTTTTGGTTTTTGCATACTTCATGTTGTAATGAATGTAACTAATATCTGCCATATAAAAGATTCAGTTCAACAGAAATGCTGAGTATCTTCTGCATGTGCTAGGCCACTAAAATGGCTTTATGCTTTCAACTTGTTCTGAAACACTGAACAGAAGTTTGTCCAGTCTTTTATTAGCAGTGCCACAGGCCTTCTGTAGAGACCCAAACTGGAAGGCAGACTTCATTATAAAATTTCATGTCCACTGTTTCCCCAATAATACACACCCCTCCATAGACACTCTGGTTGTTCAGTTTAAAGCGTGTTCAGAAAAGAGAACTTGCTATTAAGAGGATGGTAACTTTTATATTGTGAATAACAATAAAAACACTTGAATGTCAGAAATGTATGAAAACTGAATTTTCAATTATTATAATAGAGATGATTACATAGTTTTGTCAAAACAGATTTTGTACATGAATCACCCACTTATTCATACAGTGTAACTGCATACTAGAGTTACCAGTGACAATTGTAATATCGGTAAAACTAATGTGATTCATTTGCTAATTGCAGGGCTTGTAATTCAGTGTTTACAGCTCTAGACCATTGTCATGAAGCTATAGAGATAACTAGTGAAGAACATGTTATTCAGGTATGGAAAATATATCATTTATTAGAATATATGGTTGGTAAGGAGGAAAAACTGTCTCCTTTTATTCCTTATGCTTTGCTGTATTTTCATGTTTTGATTTCATTGCCTGTTGGAAAGCTTTAATAAATGAAAGCAAATATGATGATCTATTTGTTTCTTTGCATATTACTATTTGCTGTATTTGTAAGGTCTTTCTTCATTGAGCTATCAGAAATATGATTTAAAAGCTGTCCCCAATATTATGCATTATGTCTTCTTAATACAAAGCCAGAAAGATTGATTGTGAAAAATCCTAATAAAGTAATACATTTACAGTGTATAGTACATAACAGAGTAAGATGGCCTTGACAGTCGAGTATTTATATAATTTTTACTTCATTTTTCTTTTGCCCCTCTCCTCTCCCTAATTTGAGATCTTTTTTGTAATTTTTGCCACTTCCATGATACGTGGCATCAAAAGCATGAGGATGGACACCCCCACTACATGAGAGTGCAGTTATGGCTTCATACAGACTATACTCTGATATGCAGGATGAATAGCAAGGCCCTTTTCCCCCACTATTTTTCTCTTTCACTCTTTCCTCATGATTCCTTGATGCTTGTTATTTCTGTTATCATGGTTAACAGTGCAAATCAAAATGGGACACTTTGTAATGTGATGTAGAGTTCCAGAAAATGGACAAAATTTACAGCAGTTGTGCAATACATAATTTGACCATAGCATCAGAACTCAAATTGTTGTTTTCACAGGACATACTGTAGGTCTTCAGCTACAGATCCATTAATGCTGAGCAAATATGGCAATATTTGAGAATATTCTTTGGAATGAAAATCATGTCTTTGCTTTAGCAGTACAGTACTTGCAAGCCTTTTTACTTGTTTGGTGCAAACTTTTGTGAGTAAGTTTGATTGTTTAAGAATCTTTTGTCTTTAATACCCATAGGCGCTTATTTATAGGGTTTTGGGGATTTTTTAAATTGTTAATGGATAATTGGCAAAGAAAATGGCTAAATTAAATTATTTGCTATGAATAACTCATCAAGCTCTAATTCTGGCATATTGAATAATATATGTTGGTTTGTTTTTGTTTTTTAATTAAAGTACTTTGGACAAATTCTGCATTAATTTGCAGTCCCTTGTCTTATTTCTGCTTCTTCACATGTTACACGTGAATTAGGGTCCATTCAAAACCTTATTGACTTCAGCAGGAGCAAGGTCAGGCCCATCAGCAAGTTCCTTGGTTTGGTAAGAGGAATAGTCTGGGCTATACAATGTGCATTCTTACAGCAAAAATTTATTAGTATAATGTACAGTAGGGCATTTCACTCGGTATCACAAAACATTTTTATATTTAGGTTTGAGTAGATCTTTTCTCTCAGTACTTTCCTTTTTCGCATGCTGGACTAAAATTTAAGGACCTCTATTTTGACAGTATGTTAATCCAGCCTTTGAACGGATGATGGGCTATCACAAAGGAGAGCTTATGGGAAAGGAGCTTACTGAGCTACCAAAAAGTGATAAAAACCGTGCAGACCTTTTAGACACTATCAATATGCGTATCAAAAAAGGAAAGGTAGGTAAATAATAAAATTACACAAAATATTCTATTTCTATACTGCCATGTTATGTTCTTCTGGACTGAAAATGTGACATGTCCCAGTTCTTCTGATAAATTACGTATGTGGGGCCAGACCTTGGTCCCTGCTCCACACAAAGGAGCTGGCAAACCTGAGAATCTGGGAGAAACCTCTGGGGAATCCTCTGGTGGCACAGGGCCACTGCTTCAATGATACCCATCTCCCAGTCCCCTTTATAAAGGGAATTCCTGTGCTCTGGTGATGTCCAGCTACCCTAATTGCCCTGTGGGCAGCTGGCACAAAGTGGAGCAGCCTACTTTATGCTAGGGGCTGGACTGCTAGTCAGCTGCCCCAGGATTGGGAGGCAAGGGGATGATAAATGTGGCTTAATGATGCCTTTTGTCCCTCTCGTCTCCCTGCTCCAAGCTGCACCAAACACAGTGCAGGGACAACCCAGGATCTGGGATTAATCTTTAGTGTACCATTTAAAGTTCTTGTCTGTCTGTCTGGCCATGAAAATGGCATTTCCTACTACACTGTTCCAGGTGTGCCATATTCCAAAAGAGAGCTCATCTACAGATGCCAAAAGTGACTTCTCTTGTTCAGTTTTGGGCTACTCAGAGGCAACCAGCAAAGCTGAAAGACCTTGTGGATTTCTTATTGTGGAGACGTCACTTTTGATCCAACCTGCACACATTGAAGTCAATAGGTGTTGTGTTCTTCACTTAAATGGGAGAGATTCCGATCCACCCATAGCCCTAACCCCATGATTCCCTCCGTGCGCAGACCCACTCCCAATCACTAGCCTGTGACTTCCAGAGTCTGCTCCTAGGGATACCAGAGAGCAGTGCTTGGTGGGGCCCTTAACTGCCAATGATCTGCAGGGAGGATGAGGATAAAAAGCAGGATTGTGAAAGGTCAGGATTTCCTAATGACTGAGCCTGTCTCACCGTTCAGGACTGGTGAAGAGACTAGTATGGGATCAGCACAGCAGGGTCTTAGGGAGGCAGACCAGACAGCTTCTGAGAACAGAAGTAGCAGGCAAATCTGACTGCTTCCAATACTGCCAACCTCAGATAGTCAAAAACCACGAGACTGGCTTAAAAAAAAACATGAGATTTTTAAAATAGTAATTTTTTAGGGGAGGGGGTGGAATTTTCCTTCCGTTTTTGAGCCTTTTTGGTCACATTTTCCAGACCGTCTCTACAATCATGAAGGATAGAACCTTTTAAATTAAAGCTGAGATTCTCATGTAATCACATGACTCTATCTTTAAGAAAAACAGAAGACATCACAAGACTTATGATAAATCGAGAGTTAGCAACACTGCTGGCCTGTTGACTTTTCTTTGTTGGGCTAAAGTGGGTTCTGATGAATAAGGAGAGTAAGTCTTTGTTTAAAAGTTTAAATCGGCCTTATCCCTGAGATAGTGTTACTGTCTGTGTTTGTGTGAAATCTGGAATCTGTGGTCACTTTTTTTAGGTGGAGGAATCTTAAAAATAATGAGGCTCCTGAGGGTGGAAAGTGAAGGGAATTTCAAAATGAAATCACTTTTTAAAATGTTCCTACTGATGTTAGTTATTTAAAAATACTGTGTTAAATTTAAGAGCATAATTCAATCATTAGTATGAAATAGAGGGATTTTCATCCTGCTTAAAATTCTAATCTAGAGCTAATTGAAAAAATTGAACTTTTTTCAACAGGAAAAGGGACTATTTTTTTCCGTAAGTGTCCTAAAAATTTCATTCTGGTTTTGTTTTTGTTTGTTTACCCAGTATAGAGCTGGCTGAAAAACCTTCCAGTTTTGAAAGGTGTTTAGTTTTTTGTTTGTTGGGCGGGGGAGTTGGAGTCCTTTTTTCATTACACATTTTTTTGCTTTTTTGTCTTGCGTGATTTTTATCTTATTATGACCTTAAGTATGGAGCTGTTAGGGCATATCCATAATGTAATTCGGTCTGTAAAATGTGCAGTAAAGCATGTCACCAATAAATTCTGCCCTTTCCCTGTGCTGGTCTGAAGGGCCCTGGGTACAGTGGAAACAGGATAGAGGTGGAGCAGGATGCTGCCTGCCGGAGGTCAGTAGAGGGAAACACAGTAGGTATCTCTAGGAGAAATGGTAGGAATCAAATATAAATCTCATATAATTCCTTTTCAAAAGAAATGCATGGCTAACTTTCACACCACAATTATTTCTGTAAAATATGTGTCAAACATGGTGCTCTGAAAGGTTCTCCACTGATTATGATTTAAAAAATAATCATGGGTATATTATAGGGCTGTCAAGCGATTAAAAAAATTAATAGCACTGTGAAACAATAATAGAATACAATTTATTTAAATATTTTTGGAAGTTTTTTACATTTTCAAATATAATGATTTCAATTACAACACAAAATACAAAGCATACAGTGCTCACTTTATTTTTGATTACAAGTATTTGCACTGTAAAAAACCAAAAGAAATAGTATTTTTCAATTCACCTAATACAAGTACTGTAGTGCAATCTCTTTATCATGAAAGTTGAACTTACAAATGTAGAATTACGTACAAAAAAACCCTGCATTCAAAAATAAAACAATGTAAAATGTTAAAGCCTGCAAGTTCACTCAGTCCTCCTATTTGTTCAGCCAATCGCTCAGACAAACAAGTTTGTTTGCATTTACAGGAGATAATGCTGCCTTCTCCTTATTTAAAATGTCCCCTGAAAGCGAGAACAGGCATTTGCACGGCACCATTATAGCCGGTGTCACAAGATATTTACGTGCCAGATGTGCTAAAGATTCATATGTCCCTTCATGCTTCAACGACCATTCCAGAGGACATGCATCCATGCTGATGGTGGGTTCTGCTCAATAACAGTGCAGAGCTGTGCGGACTGGCGCATGTTCATTTTCATTATCTGAGTCAGATGCCACCAGCAGAAGGTTGATTTTCTTCTTTAGTGGTTCGGGTTCTGTAGTTTCCGTGTCAGTGTGTTGCTCTTTTAAGACTTCTGAAAGCATGCTCCACCCCTCGTCCCCCTCAGATTTTGGAAGGCACTTCAGATTCTTAAACCTTGGATCAAGTACTGTAGCTATCTGTAGAAATCTCACATTGGTACCTTCTTTGCATTTTGTCAAATCTGCAGTGAAAGTGTTCTTAAAATGAACACATCTTGAGTCATCATCCGAGAGTGCTATAACATGAAATATATGACAGAATGCAGATGGAAAACAGAGCAGGGGACATACAATTCTCCCCCAACAAGTTCAGTCACAAATTTAGTTTTTTAACGAGCGTCATCAGCATGGAAGCATGTCCTCTGGAATGGTGGCTGAAGCATGAAGGGGCATACGAATGGGGCATATCTGGCACATAAATACCTTGGCTACAAAAATGCCATGCAAATGCCTGTTCTCACTTTCTGGTGATATTGTAAATAAGAAGAGGGCAGCATTATCTCCTGTAAATGTAAACAAACTTGTTTGTCTTAGCGATTGGCTGAACAAGAAGTAGGACTGAGTGGATTTGTAGACACTGAAGTTTTACGTTGTTTTGTTTTTGAGTGCAGTTAACAAAAAAAATCTACATTTGTAAGTTGCACTTTCACCACAGAGATTGCACAACAGTACTTGTGTGAGGTGAATTGAAAAATACTGTTTCTTTTATCATTTTTACAGTGCAAATATTTGCAATCAAAAATAATATACACTTTGATTTCAATTACAACACAGAATACAATATATATGGAAAATGTAGAAAAACATCCAAAATATTTAATATATTTCAACTGATAGTCTATTGTTTAACAGTGTGATTAAAACTGTGATTAATCGTGATTAAGTTTTTTTGAGTTAATCGTGTGAGTTAACTGCAATTATTCGACAACACTAGTATATTATTTAATTTAATGTGACCCAAAGTATCCTTGAAAGCAGTTTTCATTACATTGATTTAGGAATGGCAAGGGGTTTACTATGCAAGAAGAAAATCAGGAGACAGTATCCAACAACATGTGAGGATAATACCGGTGATTGGTCAGGGAGGGTAAGTTACCCAAAAGGTACACTTTATTTTGTGTAGTGTGTTAACCAAACTATTTTATGTCCCCAGCGACCTTGGTATGGAAACCCCAATGTGCTCATTAATAGAGTGACATAGATAAATGTACAATAAGCTATTGCTTATTCTTTGTTTTCTGCCTAGGGAATCAATAACAAATTATCAAAGCTGAACACTCGGGGGTGAAATTCTGTGATGTACATCCATTGCAGCCCCACTGAAGTCAATGCAATTACTCGTTGTGTACGTCAGCGCAGATTGTGGCTCAAAGAATTGCATGTAAAACTGGGGGGAGGGGGAAGAGGAGAAATAGCAATTATAATGAAGTGTAACAATGTCACTAATACAGAAAACTGCAAATCCAATGTTTAGGTGAACACTACATAAAAAGAATAAAAACAACTTATAAAATTACCTTCTTAAAAATCCAAACAGACTGTGAACAATTCATGGGGATCAATAGTCTGAGTAAAGGCTTCCCATTCCGCTCATCATGCATGCACATGCTTGCATGTACTCATAATTGCAGCGTATTATGCACAGGGTTAAATTCTTCCTTCAGATGTGCATATGCACCTACCACAGGAGTTAATGACATGAGGATCCAAGGGCAGAACTTGGCTATGAAATAAAACGAATGCTCTTCACCTGGTAATATGTTTTATGCTTTTGGTTTTCATATATGGTCACTAAGGTCTGCTTTAGACAGCAGTGCTGATAGTGTGTTAATGTAATCATGTCGTTTCGCTTCTGTCTTAACCATTCCATTGAATAACAATCAATTATTTGTGTTGTTAGGAAAATTAGACATTTTGTGTCCATCAAGAAGCTGTGCTGTACCAATGAAAACAATAAACAGGTACTGTATTTCCTTTGTAATGTGTAATATGTCTGTGTTATCAGGCCTTTTCATTAATCTTTTGCCACTTTTCTCTTTACAATTGGTATAGAACACAACTTCTAAAACAAAAAGATAAAGTCAGATACTCTTTAAAAATGTTGATGTACCCTTATTTGAACAAGCAAGAAGACTTCTGTATTTACTTTAAGAACAGCTTTTTCTAGTCAGCCACGCTTTATATTACATAGGGCCACACTCTGCGCTGGCTGGTACGGTGAATGGGAACAGAGATCTGTGCTCTCCTGAAGCATGAATCTAGCCATCCAGAGCATGATTTGATGGTTCAGGCCTTGGGGATGCATTCCTAGAGTTCTCCTTGCTGCCCCTTTGAACTAGAGCTGTGTGCCCCAGCTAAAGACATCAGCACACACAGTAACAAGCTAGGGAGCTAGATCCTTCTCTAACCTGCAACCTGGGGGGGGATGTGCTGACAGGTAAACTAGGCCTTCTTCTAGGCCTAGGGTATACTTGGAAAATGTACCATGTTAGAAAATATGCTAACTTTAACCCATTTGAACTAGCACAGTGTTAAATATATTTTTGCTCTTAATGTGGACAAAGACAGTTGTGCAGAAAAGCCAGTCCTGGTTAACTCTTACTCTTAACTATTACGATGTGCTTCACCCATATCAATACACTGTCTGACAACTTCTGCCCTTGGATGAAATAAAGATATGTTCTAGAGGGCAGACTTTGCCCTATCAGTTAAAATTAAGCCCTCTGGACAAAATCCTACCTGCTTCCATGGCGCTAAAAGGGAAGGGGTGAATGATGAGAGAGGTTAGAGAAGTGTAATTTTCAGTGAGGTGTGCCTGAGGTTTTCTATATATTGCACACTACCAATAAAAAACAGTGTATACACACCTGATCTTGCTAATGCAGAAATAAGCAAGAAAAAGTTGAAGCCATGTGTATAAAGTGACAGTAAAGGACATAATTTAAAAACAACACCAACAAAATCCTGTGTGGTTCATTTTTGTTTTTCTGTAGTCTTCAGTCTCTCTGTTCATTGACCTGGTCAACACAAGTGAGTTAAAAATATATGGAAAAGTGTACATATAAAACCTTCTTGTATATAAAACCTTGGATCTAAAACTGAATTAACATTGAGCATATTATAGGCAGAGCTGGCAGCAGCATCTATTATTAAGGTTTTGATTTCTGATATTTGAATAGTTATTTGAAAACAAAGGCCACCTCAGCCTTCAAGCTAATTAGCCTGGGCAGACCCTGACGCCCCTTTGCATCTCCCTTGACATGTTACTTCAGGAGGGCTCTACAAGGCTGCTGGCGTCTGCCCTCGAGGTTTGAGGATCAAGGCCTAAAAGAAAGCATCAACCATGGAGGGTTAAAGGACCTACGAAAAAAACAAGCTAAGGCCATTATGTTCAAGTGAAGTTAGATAAAGCTTGCTTTGATCAATAGAAAATTTAATTCTTTTCTTACAAAACTGTGGTTAATTAGCTAGTCTTTTGAATTCACAACTAAGAACCTCTCTTGTTTGTAGCAGGATGTTAAGCACGCTACGATATTGAAGGAAATTTCAAAAGAAGTTTTTATTGAGATTGCAGGCTCATTGGGGCTGGGAATGTGTCCTTAGGTAGGGCCACAAATTCAAACAGCTCTTTATAAAAATAGACTATTTTGAAATAATAAGTTGAGAGGAATGATTTTGATCACTGGTTTCAGACATTGCAGATTTGCACCCTCTGGTGGCACAGACAGGTTTAAAAAAGGGAAGGCAAGATCCAGCTTAGGCTGTTACAAGCATAACTGAATTTTTTGTGCCAACTTCTGTGTTTGTTCAGCATTAGTATGGTAGACTGGAAATTCATTTGTAGCCTCAGGAAAAATAAAATTGAATCCTTTATTGAATTAAATGGAAGTAAAAAATAAAATTATTACAATGTCTCATGTGTTGTTTAATTAGATATTAAATTAAAATATTTTTTCTGCCCCTACACTTTTAATTTTCAATATGGTGCAGGATTTCTATTGAAAATACATCAGTATGTTGTAAAAGTAGTCAAGGGGAAAGCTGAAGGCTAGGTGTGGCAGTTTGGGGGTTTGGTATCCAGGAAAGTATGAGGAGGCAGTTTTGGGATTGTGGGTTTAGAATATTCTGAGATGATTCTGTCAAACTGATCAGGAATGAAATAGCTAACAAATGGCTTGTATACATTAAGGATTTTTGGCACCGGTCAGCAATCTCTAGGTAAGATGGGCTGCGCTGGTGTAAAGTGACTCTTTACCAAAGTGTAAAGTGGGTGTATCCTTAATGTTGATGAGCCTAATGTTGACATTTAAATTGTTTCGTTTTGGAACTAACAAAACATTCAGATACATGGGGCATCCCCATAGTTTTCAGACTCTTGTGCAGATTTAGGAAGACAACACTGCTCATTTATTTCATTTGATGTTTACATTGACAGCTTCTTTGATGTGTGATTAATACAGTATTCAAATTCACAAAATAAGATACCACTCGCTGTGCAGATGTTCCCTGTCTGATCCTGTGTTGCCTGGTTCTCCAGGGAGATTCACTATATCCATGGTCTCTGCTAGGCTCCTTGGGCTTGGCTCCTGTTTAATTGGGATCCAAACACCAGTCATAATTGGCACCAAAATGAGACCTCACTCACAGAAAATTGTGCTGAACTGTGACCCACCCTCTCCTTTTCACATGAGGAATGAAACAGTTAACAGTGTTGTCATTTAAATGGTCAGCAGGCACAGGAGTAAATGCCGAGATTGGTAGATTTTAAAGCCAGACAGTACGTTGCGATCATCTGGTCTGACCTCCTGTATAACACAGGCCTTAAAATTTCCCTGAATTAATTCCTGTTTGAACTAGAGCATATCTTTTAGAAAAACATCCAGTCTTGACTTAAATATTTTCGGTGATGGAGAATCTACCCCGACCCTTGGTAAGGGTCTAATGGTGAACTACCCTCACTGAATGGGTCAGTTCATTCTTCTCAGCGCTATTTTCTTGGTTCTTAAGTCGGACTCGTCTCTGCAGTGGTTACCCCAGGTGCACGTTTTTGAGATTCTTCATAACCATAACAGCTAGAGACTTACTTTTGTTAAAATGAAAGCTGAGATTATGGAAAGCAAGATATCAGCACTTCTCTAAAGCTAGCCAAGGCATATGGTCACACACTGCACCTAGCACGACTGGCGATAAGGGGGCATGTTCAGTTAGCTTGCAGGCATGAGAGCAGGTACTAGGAGAAAGCGCATGCTGCTACCTTTTGAAACAGCAGTAACATGCGCTGTGTAGTGTGGTGCCTCCAAGTTTCACTGAGCTGTCTTGTCCTGTGTAGAGATCATGGCTCTGCAGATCCCCACGTACCTTTTAGTGTTGTGCTCCCCACCAGTGTGCCTCATATTGGTAGATTTTTGTCTGATGATGAGGTACCTAGATGAACTTCTTACTTGCTGAGCTGTACAATAGCACACTGAATGACCAGACTGAGGGATTATGGGTACGTTAATAAAATTTGGGCCAGAACAGTGACCCAGCATCAAAAATAAATCGCTGGACTTTGGGGGCATTTGTTCAATTCCTGTAATCCAATTATGGTCAGAAAGGGCAATTTGTTCCTAAAAGCAAGATCAGCAATTGACTGGGCTGGATTTTGCTGTCCGTTCAAGTCTGCAGTAACTCCACTGGAGTTGTCATAAGTCTATAATGTATGAATCCATCTACAGTTCAAGCACAGTTCATGGTCTTAATATCAAATGTTTTTTATTGCTGAGAGAGTCACTGGTGAAACAAAGGCCTTTAATTATGGAATAAATGAGTCCCAGCATTTAGTCACATTATTACCAGGATGGTGTTCTGCGTAGTATCTTGGATGGGTATCTGCTTGGGGTGGCTAGCCTCACTCACAGCTTGCACCCTAGCTCAATCAGAGCTAGCGCAGGTATGTCGCCTCATGCTGGAATGACATCTTGTGACATTCCTGGGGTCCTCAGGTTGTGAGGCACCTCACCACCCCCTGCCCTTGGTGTGAAGCAGTCTTGTCTGTGCCTTCTGTGGTTCAACTCCCTGAAACCACCAGGCTCTGGCAGCACAAGCCCTGACTTCCATGTCTCTGCAGACCTCACCCTCTCTGTGCAGGCTAGTGATAGGCACACACCAACCCCCGAGTCCTTGGAGTGGTCCCTACTGTATGCAGCCCATGTCACAGGACGCTCAGAAATGACCAGGTAAGCTGTCCCTGGAGGAATAGTACACATGCAGCTTGACTGGTACCACTCAGGGTCAGGTCCTTTATAACAGCATAACTCAAATATATTTATAGTTTATTATTAAGGATTAAGTTTTAAGAGATAGTGAGTAAGGATAATGAGTGGAAACAAAAAGGGTTACAGATATAACATAAAACACAATCCTTATCAGTACTTATCTTTCCTGTTTAATAAAGTAGATTTCCCCCTAAGGGGTTAAATGTTTGTTTGATAGAGCTGCACTTTGTCAGCCTTGAAAACAGGACACCTGGCAACCCTAGCCCATTGTGAAATAATACAATGCTTAATTTACATGTCAGTTGCTAGATGGACAAACACTCCTGGTCTGAGTGAAAACCTGTCTCTGCTGGTGACTCATATCTTGATACAGACACTCAGGATATATTTTCAGTACATATACACAACCCCTTAAATATCATCCCCTACATACATCACACAATATTATTAACCAGCATGATCCTGGCTTTCATTTAAGATCTTACACAACACTCTTTATGAATAAATACTATGAAAGCAATATGTTAGCTGTAGTGAGTTTGTCAGGCCTGCTAGGAGTTGCTGTTACATGACAGTGAATCCCTTGCCAGCTGGGATTCAGGAGTTCTGAGGGTCACACACCGCCAGCTCCAAGTGAAAATATACCCTAAAACTGCTTGCATTTAACACTTCAGACTTTACACACAGACACACACACCTTCTTAAATTCTAATGCATTGTCCACTTTTTTTAAAATGTGAAAATAAATTACATTTGTTTTTTGCCATTTGTTACACTTTATCAGGGATAAAAGAAAAGGAGTACTTGTGGCACCTTAGAGACTAACCAATTTATTTGAGCATGAGCTTTCGTGAGCTACAGCTCACTTTATCAGGGATGTCATTTTAGATAAGGTTTCTACGTGGTAGTCTCTATGGTATGTATTTGTACATCAGACTTGTCACAGAGAAAAAATATATGAAGGATTTGTGCATAGAAAACTTTATTTCTGGGTACAAGATTATAGTAAAGATCGTAGTATAGTAAAGATTTGTGAATGGGAATTCATTACTCATGCTTAAAAAGAAACACAGTCAATATATGCTTTGTTGGGTTGGGGGCCTTGTAGTATCCAGCCTGATGTTCAAATTCCCACCTGCCTCTCCCCTAGCAACCAATTGGCTCAACATTAAATGTGTAATCTCCCTTCTTTCTTTCAGGCCAGCTGGGAGAATTCTTGCCTGCAGGGGGAGGAAGGGCTGAGGGAAGGGGAAATGTATTCAGAACTAGTATCTGTCTTTTACTGGGGCACTGACAGGAATAGTGGATGGAGGCTTCCTGTTAAACAGAGTGACCACTGATGTGTCCCCCGCAATTGTGCAGTAAAGAGAGAAGAGATAGTTAAGGGGTGACTTGATCACAATGTATAAATATTTGTATGGGAAACAATTTAATAATGGAAGAGCCTTCTCCTTTGCAGACAAAGGTATAACACAATTCAATGGCTGGAAGTTGAAGCTGGACAAATTCAAACAAGAAATAAGATGCACGTTTTTAACAATGAGGGTCATTAATCAGTGGAACAATTAACCAAGGGTTGTGGTGGAGTCTTCATCACTAGACACTTTAAAATCAAGATTGGATGTTTTTCTGAAAGGTGTACTCACGTTCAAATAGGAATGAATTCACCCAAGTCCTATGGTCTGTGTGATGCAGGTGATCAGATTAGATTATCACAGTGCTCACCTTTGTCTGTATAGTCTAGGACTTTGATTCCCTAAGGGTTCAAACTATTCCCCAGAGAACTTTCAGTTTGAGCCCACAGCAGCTGCTTTTGCGCACACTGTAGCAGTGGGATGTGCGCGGTAAACATCACCTCGACATTGCCATGAAGCTTGTCAAAACTCCTTGAATTATTTTTTAGCCAAAAAAAAGCCTTCTCTCCCTGCCACAGAAATGTTTGTGAAAAACATTTGATAGTTGTTAAATATCTCACATGCTTTCACTGATACAACATTTGACGTGGCATCATTTCACACCATACTTTGCCATGGCATATTGCTTTAGGCCATAACAAAAACCTAACCCAGCAAAACCTTCTTTGATCAAAGGATATCCTGTTTAGGCTATTGTAACCCTTTCTGGCATTATTCATTCTGAATAACCATTGTGAAATAGTTTGCTCCTTGCTCCTGTTTCTGCCTCTTCTCCCCCACCCCTTCTTTTCAACGTGGTGGATGTGAACAATTAAGCAGGCTCTATCCCTCATTTGGGGCCCGTGCTGCCACCTGCACCCACAGAGACTCATACCTTACTATAGGTTTCAGAGTAGCAGCCGTGTTAGTCTGTATCCGTAAAAAGAACAGGAGTACTTGTGGCACCTTAGAGACTAACCAATTTATTAGAGCATAAGCTTTTGTGAGCTTCTTAAATTAAATAAATGTGTTAGTCTCTAAGGTGCCACAAGTACTCCATACCTTACTACGTAAGTAGTCCTATTGATGGGACTGCTCGCAGAGGGCAATGAGGCAGGCCCTGTGGAGCCCAGGTGACTGCGCAAACTACTCCTATAATGGTGTAAGCTATGTCATGCCCTTGCAGTACATTTTGTGGGCATAAGGCATGGGAATGGCTTCTATTGCACCCCCCAAGGACGTAAAAGGGACAGATTTGGCATTACAACCCAGAGGGGCCTACAGCGATTCTAGAAGTTCTTGGGAAAGTCTGCCTTCACTTGTATTGTGAAGCTTTGAGCGGCCCTGTCTCCTCGGAGTGGCTGGGGATGCTCTAGCACTGTCCTTGGGCTCACCTCTCTTGTCCCAAAAGGATACTGAGGGTTAGCTGACCATTTGTCCTGTGTGAGCTGCCACATTCCTTGGTTGAATGCAGCTGGCAGGGCAAACTGCTGCAGCTGTGGACGACACAGGTTAAAACACTTGAGATGTACATGCTACTAGCCGCTGCTGACCTAGGGTATGTTGACAGTGTCCATTTGCATATACCCATTGCTTTCTTTGGTGACTCCTCCTTCATTTGTATATTGCAGCATGCTATGTTAGACAGACCGTATGCAGGCTGCTCAGGGCTAGGTGCAGCCCCACATGATTCCCTCTAACTCAGAGGTAGCAAGTCAGGTGACGTACCAACTCACTACCATAAACGTCTTGCTCCTGCAGAACCTAATGCACGGGCATAGGGTGGATGATGCGTTTTGTTCAGAGTAGGGTACTAATCACCATGAGCAAGGGTGGCAAAACTGAGCTCTTAGTTAGAACTCTGTGAATAACTGGTTGGGGGTTTTTTTGGTTTGCTGGCTGAACCAAAAAAATGGTCCTGGGTGAATTTGTTTTGGGTCACACAAGATGTTTTGGTTTTGAGTTTAATCTTTTATAAATTATAGTAAAATTCAAAATTAATAGTAGTTTCTAATCGAAACATCAAAATGTTTCATTTTGAAAACACTGAAATGTTTTGATTCTTTCAAAAAAAAAAACCAAACTTTGGGGGTGCGGGTCTGGGTAGGTGACCAAACATTTTGGTGAATTCACACAATGTTTCAGTTAACCTAAATCTGTATTTTTGAGCAAAAAATGGTTTGGACAGACAACTTCACTCAGCTCTACTACTAGTGTGACTAGAGTAAAATACAATGTCCAACTATTATTTTAATGAGGGGCTCTAACAAACTTTCCCCTTTAGTATTTGATTAGCCGCATATAAATAAAGGTGTGCATGCCTGTAGAGAGGAGGGTTCTGAGACTGAGCGATCTGTTCACTTGTTATCCCACTTCAGCAAAAATACTTTCTAAAATCCATAACCAAAGAATGAGACAACATGATGTGACAATTTAATTCTGTTACATCTATTCTGCCTGAGAAGTGTACACTTTATTCCTGGAAACAAACAGAGCATATTACAGAGTAGTGTTCAATCTGTGTAATTTGAAATCTGGTGTTTATGTGAAAACATAATAAGGAAGTGATGATATCTTGCCCAAGAAGAGAGAAATATTTAAATACAGAGAGTGGAGCAATCTGGTGCACTCCAGTGGCAAAAAAGAAAAAAAGATCTTAATAATCCTATGATCAATGAAGATGATAAAACATTATCCAGGAACATGTAGCAAACTTCATCGGAATCAGGGAATTTCCCCACCCAAGGGATTTTTCACAAGGCCAGTGCATCACTGGTCCTTGAAAATGGATTTGTAAAATTGGTTTATACAGTACCAGGAAATCAGTTTTTAAATTACAGTAGAGTAGGCAAAAAGTACCTGATATTTTTTTACTTTTTATTGAGGGAAGTCAGTATTTCAGGGTGACTGACTTAGGAAAACACAATTAAAAATGAATGTCTGTTCCCTTACAGTCACAGGCATCAAACAGAAAAGCACTCATAATGCATAAAAGCACAACAGTATTTGTAATTTCCTATGCCGTGTGCTTGTGGCCTCTCCAATTGTTGCTCTTTCTTCTTAAAATGCAGTTATATCTATAGAATCTTTTTTAAAAAATTCTTGCAAATAATTGGAAAGTGCTTGTTGAGGATCATATTGAATGTAACCCTTTAAAATGTTTTCTTTTTTACATATTTTACTTTTGGTACAACTTCAGCTCTACAAGATTCATCGTGATGAGAAGTATGCAGGAGACAATTCACAGGCAGGTTAGAATATGATCATTTATCTACATACGCTTCTTCATTTTAAAAAAAATGAGGCCAGATTCTTCGCTAGTATAAATCAGTGTAGCTCCATTCTATTCAGTCCAGTGGTGTTCCCCCATCAGAGAAGCTGGCCCATGACTGACTGAGGCCAATTGGCAATGTACTGCTAAACAACGTGTATCACTTATAAACAAGTTTTGAGTAATAGTCCCCACTTTTATATTACCTTTATTTTATGGCGTAAAGCACTTAGCTGGTGCTCAGAGTTAAAATACAACAGTTGTAGGTGTATTTAACAGTGGGTCAGATCTTTAGCTGGTATAAATTGGCATAGATCTACGGCCTGAACTGAAGGGTGCTATACTGATTTATGCCAATGGAGGATTTGGCCTAAAACCTTCCAAATTAGGACCATTTTAGGACAAGTTAGGCTGGAAGAAAAGCAAATGGGTCACTAAAACTTGTCTATGTATGGCTGACTCTCCTCTAAAGAGCCAGTTCTGGTGTATTCTTGGTGTTGTGAATGAGATGTTGTTGAATACAGGACTGAAAGTTGGGAATTTCTGCTTTCTAATTCCTAATCCGACATTGGTTCCTTTGCTTGCATTTCTTAGGTTTCCTACCCCATGTCATGTTGTTTGGTTACAAGCTAAATTGTATTCATTTTAACTACTTTTCAACTTTCCTTTACATCATTTAAGGACAGTTAAAATTTAATTATGAATGAAATGGAAGATGCATTCATTATGCAAAGAGTCCTGTGGCACCTTATAGACTAACAGACGTATTGGAGCATAAGCTTTCGTGGGTGAATACCCACTTCGTCGGATGCTTGTAGTGGAAGTTTCCAGAGGCAGGTATAAATATGCAAGCAAGAATCAGGCTAGGGATAACAAGGTTAGTTCAGTCAGGGAGGATGAGGTCCTCTCCTAGCAGTTGAGGTGTGAACACCAAGAGAGGAGAAACTGCTTTTGTAGTTGGCTAGCCATTCACAGTCTTTGTTTAATCCTGAGCTGATGGTGTCAAATTTGCAAATGAACTGAAGCTCAGCAGTTTCTCTTTGAAGCAGTTTCTTGTAATTTCCATGTAAGTAAGTTACATACATAAAAGGTTGTTACAAGGAGGAGGGAGAAGAATTGTTCTTGTTAACCTCTGAGGATAGGACAAGAAGCAGTGGGCTTAAATTGCAGCAAGGGAGGTTTCAGTTGGACATTAGGAAAAACTTCCTAACTTTCAGGGTGGTTAAGCACTAGAATAAATTGCCTAGGGAGATTGTGGAATCTTAATTGTTGGAGATTTTCAAGAGCAGGTAAAACAAACACCTGTCTCGGATGGTCTAGATAATATTTTGTCCTACCTTGAGTGATGGGGACTGGACTAGAAGACCTCTTGAGGTCTCTTCCAGTCCTATGATTCTGATTTTGTACATCTAGTCTCCCTGCAGAAAGTCATCATGTTCAAGTTCTCAGCCAAAAGTTTGTCACAAAAGTTATTCAATGTATCCCAGTATCCCGGGGAAGTGGGAGAAGGAAATAAAGCCAAGACATTCACTTTTTCAGAAAACATGCACTATTATGTAATAAAAGTATTTTATCTGAGGAGGAAGAGGCACAAGATCAGTTTTTAGGGTTGTAAACATCTTTTATTGATCGAAATGATCTGCCATTTTAAACCAATAATAGCAGGTGGGTGAACAAACAGGTGGGGAGAAGGGATGATGGTATAGCTGCATGCACAGTCTGTAGGTGTAATAACCCAGTCAGCAGCAGTAATCACAACTAGTAGCAAGACAGAGGAGCTGGGATCTTGATCCCTCAGTGCAACTCAATACATTCAGGAGAGTGGCTTTCAAACTTTCACCACTGTGAAAACCCTTGTTACCTTCTTGTACAGGAAATTTTGGGATTTTAAAGTAATCTTGGACCTCTAACGGGAAAAAGCTACTCTCAGGGCTTGTGTACACTAGATATGCTACAGTAGGAGAGCTGACACAGTGAAGACTCTACCTACGTCAACAGGAGAGTTTTCATAGATTCATAGATATTAAGGTCAGAAGGAACCATTATGATCATCTAGTCTGACCTCCTGCACAATGCAGGGCCACAGAATCTCACCCACCCACTCCTGCGATAAACCTCTCACATATGTCTGAGCTATTGAAGTCCTCAAATCATGGTTTAAAGACTTCAAGGAGCAGAGAATCCTCCAGCAAGTGACCCGTGCCCATCTAAACCCACCTACTCCTGTGATAAACCTCCAGGGCCTCTTCCAATCTATCCTGGAGGAAAATTCCTTCCCGACCCCAGATATGGCGATCAGCTGAACCCTGAGCATGTGGGCAAGATTCACCAGCCAGATACCCAGGAAAGAATTCTCTGTAGTAACTCAGATCCCACCCCATCTAACATCCCATCACAGGCCTTTGGGCCTATTTACCATGAATATTTTAAAAGATCAATAAATTGCCAAAATCATATCGCATCATACCATCTCCTCCATAAACTTATCAAGTTTAATCTTAAAGCCAGATAGGTCTTTTGCCCCCACTGCTTCCCTTGGAAGGCTATTCCAAAACTTCACTCCTCTGATGGTTAGAAACCTTCATCTAATTTCAAGTCTAAACTTCCCAATGACCAGTTTATATCCATTTGTTCTTGTGTCCACATTGGTACTGAGCTTAAATAATTCCTCTCCCTCTCCAGTATTTATCCCTCTGATATATTTATAGAAAGCAATCATATCTCCTCTCAACCTTCTTTTGGTTAGGCTAAACAAGCCAAGCTCCTTGAGTCTCCTTTCATAAGACAAAAAGAAAAGGAATACTTGTGGCACCTTAGAGACTAACCAATTTATTTGAGCATAAGCTTTCATGGGCTACAGCCCACTTCAACGGGCTGTAGCCCATGAAAGCTTATGCTCAAGTAAATTGGTTAGTCTCTAAGGTGCCACAAGTATTCCTTTTCTTTTTGCGAATACAGACTAACACGGCTGTTCCTCTGAAACCTTTCATAAGACAGGTTTTCCATTCCTTGGATCATCCTAGTAGCCCTTCTCCGTACCTGTTCCAGTTTGAATTCATCCTTCTTAAATATGGGAGACCAGAACTGCACACAGTATTCCAGGTGAGGTCTCACCAGTGCCTTGTATAACGGTACTAAAACCTCCTTATCTCTACTGAAAATATGTCGCCTAATGCATCCCAAGACCACATTAGCATTTTTCACGGCCATATCACATTGGCGGCTCATAGTCATCCTGTGATCAACCAATACTCCAAGGTCCTTCTCCTCCTCCGTTACTTCTAATTGATGCGTCCCTAGCTTATAACTAAAATTCTTGTTATTAATCCCTAAATGCATGACCTTACACTTCTCACTATTAAATTTCATCCTATTACTATTACTCCAGTTTACAAAGTCATCCAGATCTTCCTGTATGATATCCCTGTCTCTCTCTAAATTGGCAATACTTCTCAGCTTTATCATCCGCAAACTTTATTAGCACACTCCCACTTTTTGTGCTGAGGTCAGTAATAAAAAGTTTAAATAAGATTGGTCCCAAAACCGATCCCTGAGGAACTCCACTGGTAACCTCCCTCCAGCCTGACAGTTCACCTTTCAATATGACCCGCTATAGTCTCCCTGTTAACCAATTCCTTATCCACCTTTCAATTTTCATATTGATCCCCATCTTTTCCAATTTAACTAATAATTCCCCATGTGGCACAGTATCAAATACCTTACTGAAATCTAGGGTAAATTAGATCTGCTGCGTTTCCTTTGTCTAAAAAAATCTGTTACTTTCTCAAAGAAGGAGATCAGGTTGGTTTGACACGATCTACCTTTTTGTAAAACCATGTTGTATTTTGTCCCATTTACCATTGACCTCAATGTCCTTAACTACTTATTCCTTCAAAAATTTTTCCAAGACCTTGCATTCTACAGATGTCAAACTAACAGGCCTGTAGTTACCCGGATCACTTTTTTTCCCTTTCTTAAAAATAGGAACTATGCTAGCAATTCTCCAATCATACGGTACAACCCCTGAGTTTACAGATTCATTAAAAATTCTTGCTAATGGGCTTGCAATTTCATGTGCCAATTCCTTTAATATTCTTGGATGAAGATTATCTGGGCCGCCCGATTTAGTCCCATTAAGCTGTTCGAGTTTCGCTTCTACCTCAAATATGGTAATATCTACCTCCATATCCTCATTCCCATTTGTCATGCTACCCATTATCCCCAAGATCCTCATTAGCCTTATTAAAGACTGAGGCAAAGTATTTGTTTAGATATTGGGCCATGCCTAGATTATCCTTAACCTCCACTCCATCCTCAGTGTTTAGCGGTCCCACTTCTTCTTTCTTTGTTTTCTTCTTATTTATATGGCTATAGAACCTTTTACTACTGGTTTTAATTCCATTTGCAAGGTCCAACTCTACTTGACTTTTAGCCAGTCTCACTTTATCCCTACATGTTCTGACCTCAATAAGGTAGCTTTCCTTGCTGATCCCTCCCTTCTTCCACTCCCTGTATGCTTTCTGCTTTTTCTTAATTACCTCTCTGAAATGCTTGCTCATCCAGCTTGGTCTACAACTCCTGCCTATGAATTTTTTCCCCTTTCTTGAGATGCAGGCTTCCAATAGCTTCTGCAGCTTTGACTTAAAGTAATCCCAGGCCACTTCTGCCTTTAGATCCATAAGTTCTTCAGTCCAATCCACTTCCCTAACTAATTTCCTTAATTTTTGAAAGTCAGCCCTTTTGAAATCAAAAACCCTAGTCGCAGATTTATTTTTGTTAATCCTTCCATTCAGTTTGAACTGAATTAGCTCATGCTCACTTGAACCAAGGTTGTCCCCTACAAACATTTCTTCTATGAGGTCCTCCCTACTCACCAAAACCAAACCTAAAATGGCATCCCCTCTAGTCGGTTCAGCAACTACTTGATGAAGGAATCCATCAGCTATCACATCGAGGAAAATCTGAGCCCTATTATTATTACTAGCACTCGTCCTCCAGTCTATATCTGGGAAGTTAAATTCTCCCATGATAACACAGTTTCCATTAGTATTTACTTCATTAAAAACATTAAAGAGAGCTCTATGCATATTCAAATTAGATCCCGGCGGTCTATAGCACACCACAAGCATTATCACAGGGGAGGCTCTGGTAGTTTTCTTCCCCCATGTGATTTTTGCCCAGACAGACTCTGTCTTATCCATTCCATCGCTTCTTATTTCTTTACATTCTACCTCATCATTGATATGCAATGCCACTCCACCACCTTTACCTTTATTTCGGTCTTTCCTAAACAGCACGTACCCTTCAATACCTGTAGTCCAGTCATGACTACTATTCCACCATGTTTCTGTTATCCCTATAATATCTGGTTTCACTTCCTGCACCAGTAGCTCTAGTTCCTCCATTTTGTTACCAAGGCTCCTCACATTGGTGTACAAACATCTTAATTTTTGCTGTTTGGCCTCGCTCACATTCTGTACCCGATTAGGCACGGTCATTCTACAGCCAGTATGACCTATTAGACTGGTATCCACATGCCCGTCCTCCTTATGTCCATTCTCCTACTCACGGCTGTATCCTTTCTTACTTTGTTTTCTTCCCTCTCAATGCTAAAATCCAGCGTGGAGATTACCTGGACATCTCCCAACCATCTCCCCCAGATTACTAGTTTAAAGCTCTCTTAATCAGTTGTGCCAGCCTCCATCCTAGAAGTCAATTTCCTTCGCTACTCAGATGAAGTCCATCCCGAGAGAACTGTCATGAACGCCTCCCAGTGGCCATACATCCCAAAGCCCTCCTTACACCAGTGCCTATGCCATCTGTTGATAGTCATAATCTTGTCGCACCTTTGTTGCCCTTCTCTAGGAACAGGCAGAATCCCATTAAAGATCACCTGAGCCTCGATTTCCTTAAGCGTCTTCCCCAACCTGGCATAGTCTCCCTTGATATGTTCCAGCGAGAATCTACTGGTATCATTTGTTCCCACATGAAGGATAATTAGGGGATTCTTTCCCGCTCCCTTTAGGATCCTTTTCAATCTCAGGTCTACATCCCGTATCTTAGCACCTCGAAGACAGCACACCCTTCTGTTCTCTGGATCAGCTCTGGTTACAGGCCTGTCTATTCTTCTCAGTAAAGAGTCCCCGGTCACGTAGACCTGCCTTTTCCTGGTGACTGTGCTGTTCTCCAGTCTATCCCCTGTTCCCTCTGGCTGCAAGTTCTTTCTATTCCTAGTCTCTCTTGTAATCCTCTTCAACCCATCCTGTATCCTCCTGGGACTCGTATTTGGTGTAGTCTCCATTGATTCTTCCCCTTTTGCTAAAGGACTAGCTGCTCTTCTCTTCTTCCTCGCCCTTCCACCTTTAGTGACCACCTGCTGAGCCCTTCTTCATTTTCCAACTCTGCAAACCTATTTTTGAGCTCCATTTCTCCTTCACTAGCGCATCTTTTCCTCTGTCTGGTTCTCTTAGTCACATGCTTCCACTGTCCACTTTCCTCACCCAGCAGTATCCCCTCAGAATTCTTCAGTCCTGCTTCTATCTTCAAGTCTGAGCTTTTCCCTTCAGCTGCCTCATGTCTTTGCTCCATAATCCACTCGACCCCCTTTTAAACTCAATCAGACTTTCCACCTGCATCTCCAGTCCTCGGATCTTGTCCTCCGTCAGCTCTATTAGACGGCATTTCATGCAGACAAAACTCTTACCAGGTAGCCCCTCCAGGATCATATACATACCGCAGCTTCCACATCCAGTCATCTTCATTGTGTCTTCCACTACATGGGTCACTCCCACTGCTGCCTCTGTATCTGTTATAGCCTTCCCACCTAAATCCTGTTAGTCTGGGAAACACAAACCACACCAAAACACCACAACCCACAGCAAAAACAAACCCCAAACAAGCACCACAATACAAACTCCCCTTACAAACTCCCACTGAAACTCCCCTGTTTACAGCTCTGTTTGCTGGCTCCTGTGCCGCTGCAGCTGTCTGAGAGGTTCTCCTGTTGGTATAGGTACTCCACCTCCCGAGAGCAGTAGCTAGGTCAATGAAACAATGCTTTTATCAACCTTGTGCTCTCTATACCGGGGTGAGGTCATCTTAACTGTCACTCCGGGATGTAGATTTTTCACACCTCTGAGGGACATAGTTGGGTCGACCTAACTTTTTAGCGCCACTGAATCACAGCATCTAAAGAGTATTCCTAAAACAAACTTTTGATCAATTTTAGTTACTTTAAAATATTTACTATATTTATAGTTTACATTACTTTAAATTCTAAGACATTTTAGTAAAATCATATACCCATTAAGCTTCAAACCAATAGTACTGTGTACATTATATTATATATCTTTATACTATTGTATGTTCACATTAGATGCATACCTCCAGCATCACATGAAGTTAATAAATATCAATTTAATGATGGTCCTAATCCTTTAAATTATTATTATCCCTTCTGAACAGTTCTCTGTGATCTGTGACTAACTGGCACTTTAGATACTACAGTGATGGGCATTTTAGAAATATGTATAGATAGATAGATGGAAATTATTTTACAATGTAAGGTAAACTGTGGCTATGTATCTGAAAAAAAAATCTAGAAGTTTACCAGGTTACCCTTTTGAGATTATCATGAAGCATGTAACATGCATCTGTTTTATCTGACTATTTCCTGGTCTGATGGATGGGATTTTCTCTCTTGTCAATGTCAGGAATGGTGGTTTGGTTTGTAGCTAATTGTTTGTTTTTAATCACTGTAACTCTTTTTTAACATAAATACTCAACAAAATAAAAAAATGTCCAGCTCAGTTCCATGTGGAGAGGCAGGACAGTCTTCTGGTTAAAAAACAGGACTGGGAGTCAGGAGACCAAGTAGCTTGTCTTTCATGTGCAGCAAATTCCTGGGTGATCTTGGCCAAGTTACTAAGGGCCAGATTTCAAAGGTATTTAGGCACCTAAAGAAGCAGATCGACACCTAGTGGGGTTTTCAAAACTGCATAAGAACTTAACTCCAATTGATTTCAATGGGTATTAGTTGACATGGGCCAGATTTTTAACAGTATTTAAACCGAACTCCCACTGATTTCAATTATTTTAAAAACCTAGCCCCTGGGCAATTTTGAAAATCCCAGTAGGCAACTTTAGGTGCCTAAATATCTTTTAAAAATCTGGCCTTGATCTGTCTCTGCCTCCATTTATCTGTATAATAGAGCTAGCAATATCTCCCTACCTCACAGAGGGCTGTGAACATAACGAGCTTTGGGATTTAAGATGGAAGGGGCAGTAGAAGAGCAGTGTATTTATTATTGTTGTCATTTTAAAGTTTTCATTTTATATTTCTAGAATCCCACTCCTTCAGATGCAAGAACAGGAGGAAAGAATCAATTGATGTCAAATCAATAACCTCTCGAAGCAGCGATGGTAAGAAAATAGAAATCCAAAAAGAATACAGGTTTCAGAGTAACAGCCGTGTTAGTCTGTATTCGCAAAAAGAAAAGGAGGACTTGTGGCACCTTAGAGACTAACCAGTTTATTTGAGCATGAGCTTTCATGAGCTACAGCGCACTTCATCGGATGCTGACTCTAAGGTGCCACAAGTACTCCTTTTCTTTTTTTTTAAAAAAGAATACAGTTAGAAATACAGAAAGCAAGTGACCTGAGCAATCAAAATACGGAGTTAAACAGGACAGCAGTAGCATTCTTCTGAGCTACTGATGGAGAGACGCACAAGTGACCTTTGACATTTCTTCCAACGTTTTTTGTTATCCATTTATGTTGAATTATGAGGTACTTCCCAAAACAGCAGAAGACACTAACTTTTCAGTATGATGCATGATCGTGTACAGCCTGCATGAAGGTGAGGTGTGGCTGTACCGCAGCAGGGGTAGGAGGGTTCTGGAAGAATGCATTTATGGAGTGCCAGCTCTCCCCCCTTTGAAAGGATGCAGCTTGTGCTCCTCCTATGCTTGTTCAGCTTCACAGGCCGATGCAGGAGGGGGTGGGGCCTTCAGCTCACAGGGGCCTTGTACTGCTACTGGCTAAGACTCACTCCTTATCCCATTGGTGGCTGGTCACTGTGATGGGATGTGAGCATGGTGATGCTAGAGGCTTCTTTCACCATTTCTGCTCATTTGCATGCACTCCCAAGCAATCATAGTTTGCAGAGATCTAAGAACCTGGTTTTGGTCCAGCAGAGTCTCAGGGTTCAGAGTGTGAAACAAATAAAAGGAGAGTTGAAAGAAAAGCTAGACTGAATTAAGGCTATTTTAATTCTGAAGGAGAGTGTCGATACAGGGATTTAATGTGGTTTTAACTAATCCATTTAAAATTTACAGCTTCAGTTAATTCAGATTAATTTTCCTGAGTATTCCCATGTAGACAAGCCCCTAATAGGCACCAGTATACTCAACTGAATCAGCTACAGTGGTGGTGCTAGTGACCTGCTAATAGCTTCCTGCTGGACCCTCATGGGCAGGGGATTAAGCAACTTCGAACCCCTTTGCTAGCTAAGGGCATATTTTGTTAGGTCATTCCCAATGACAGTCTCTATGTGCCAGTGACTCATAGGGCTCTTTCATTGAAATGCGTGTTCTGTGTTACATGCAGTGTCAAAATCTAAATCTGTATATTTTATGCAATGGCAGCGCCAAGCTTACAGAATCGTCGGTATTCATCAATGGCAAGAATCCACTCAATGACAATAGAAGCACCCATCACAAAGGTAAAAAAATGTTATCACTGACTGCTACTGTATGCCACAAACTCAGGATACTTTGGTACTATCTTTGCAGAAAAATATGTGGGTGTATTTACAACAAAGGGACTGTAGAAATTGTGCATCTCAATTTTATTTACTCTGTTACAAATATCCTCTTTGGGTCTCTCCTTCTATATCATAGCCATAGAATAGAATATCTGTGTGGCCTCTGTTTTCTCTTCCTTTTATATTGAGAGCCATTTAGAAAATCATAGCTTTGCCTCCACAATCACAATGTTTGAGTGCTGGCCTGGATTCTTTGTCTGGAGACCTGTATAGTCCCATAGTTTATCGGGTCTCAGTAGTCTTGTGGCATTGCCACCCATTAGCCTACCTATAAAATACCTTGGGCCCAGACACACAACTTCTAATAACGATGCCTAGGCTAGGCATTCACACCTCTCTCTTCACTCAGGCTCCTGGTCCCCATAGCTCCTCAGTAGGTTTCTCCTCACCTAATCTGCTGTTTAAAGCACCAAAATAATAGAATGTAAGGGGAGGGAATTCAAATTCAGAAAATCTAGACTCTGGTTGTTTATATAACACACTTAGTATTTGGGGTGACCATAGGACTTCTACAAAGTGTGAAATAACACAGTATACTGACTGCTGTCACTGTAAATGTCGTGGGGATTAAGATTTTGTAATAATATGAAAGGAACAATGTTTTTTCTTTGAAGCAATCTGATTTCACTCTTCCCTCCAACCCCCTCAGGTTATTAACATCATCAATACTGCCCAGGAGAACAGCCCTGTCACGGTAGCAGAGGCTTTGGACAGAGTTTTGGAAATTTTACGGACAACAGAACTTTACTCCCCTCAGCTAGGTACCAAAGATGAAGATCCTCACACAAGTAATCTTGTTGGAGGTCTGATGACTGTGAGTAGGAAAAGAAAATTTAAACAAACATCAACTAACTGATCTGACACAGTGGGTATCTTTCTTCCACCACTGGGGCAAGAGAATCCCTGCATCCACCTGACTGAGGGTTCATCAGCTATAGTGCCTGTGCCTTCAGGGGGAACAGGGACTACAATTCAGCTTTACCGACTTGCCTTGCATTTAGGCCACACCAGTGCAGTTGACCTGAGAGGCACCAGTAAGCATGAAGATTGTTACTATTGCTGTTTTTCAGTCAGGTGGCTTGGAAACACTGCTACTCTTTTATGTGAATAATTCTTTAGTTCCATTGGAAACTACATATATTGATAACCTAATCGGTAGTATCCCAAGTTCCTGAAAGCTTTTAAGAAAAAGTTACCCGATCACTGCACTGCAATTGAACTGAAGAATTATTATACACCTGATGCAGTCAGTGACTATACAAAAGTTTGTAAAACTGAACTTTGACCTGCTAAGGAGCCTTTTACCATGTCCAGACTGCCCTACACACCAAACCTGCATTGGATTTTCATAGTGGAATATCTCAAACCCTCTTCCTACAGATGCTGGTCTGGAGCCCCAGAATGGGTCGCTTGTGGAAACAGCATAACTGAAATGCAAAACAAGTGACATTTGTGAATTTCAATTAAAAACATCATGCAACCGTCAATGAAAGGGGATGAGAGGAGGCCAATACATTGTTGATCAAATAAATACCCTTTCTGGAGACCTCCTACCAGTGGTATTCAATAGTCTGAGTGTCCCTGCTTTTAGACCTGTGTCATTAAAAAGGAAATCTTGCAGTAGCAGTTACCACTTTTATCAAACTTTTCAACTCCAAGAAAGTGGAGTTGGAGCTTCTAAGTCCCTTGCTAGTTACGTCTACTTCTGTACTGGAAGACTGAAAACAAGCATGCTGCTTGAGGCACTCCCTAAAACATGAACAATATTTTAGGTAGCCAGGGCTAGTTCCTATGGGGAAATGGTGTAAAGCATTCTTTATACTTGATAATGGTTTCCTACAACTTATAGAATCTTTATTTCAGGATGGCTTGAGAAGACTGTCAGGAAATGAGTATGTATTTTCTAAGAGTAAGTTTCCATGTTAAACTTTCTTTGCCTGTGTTGTGTTTCATTGGCCGCAAACATTGATTTAGAATTCCAAGCTAGTTTGCAGTTTGATTATTTGTCTTTGGAAGTGGTTTTCCCAGTAATCTGAGAGCAAGTGTTTGAGCAAGTGTCAGTCTGGTTCAAGTAGTCAACATCATGTATCTGAGAAATGTAGAAACCAGACTGGAAAACAATTAAAATGAAAAATGTTAATTAAACAAATATGACCGTAAAAAGTCATCATTTGATTTGTTTGCTCTTCTTGATTTATGTCTAAACTTGTATAAAAGATACAGTACCTGAAGATATTTCTAAACTTGGTGTCTTCAGAAGGAATTAATTTCTAATAAGGATTCTGCAAATGAAATAAAAAAGTTTTAAAAATCCATAATTAATTTCATTCCAAAATTTTCTTTTGACAGACATGAACCAAAGCCATAGTCACCTTTCAGTGCCAATTACCGTCAACGATGTACCACCTTGTATTGCACAGTTACTTGATAATGAAGAAAGCTGGGACTTTAATATTTTTGAATTGGAGGCTGTTACAAATAAAAGGTATGTGACTGCTTTCTGTACATACCCATAAATGAAGCTGTCAAGTGAGCTATGGCACAAAGGAACCCTGTGTGTTTCACTATGTATTTTGCCATAGCTCTTTCAGAGAGACCCTCCCTTGTTGTCTGTGTTGTCACTGTACTACTTTGCAAACAGGTCAATATGCTGTTTTCGGAAATCCAGTGCAGCTGGCCAGAAAGAGTCAGTGTCCATGCTAAGTGTACAGCCACCTCACTCTGTCAGTCTCTTCTTCATCTCAACACCCTAGGCCTACAGGATTCTTTCCTCATCAATTGATCTTGTCTCTTACCTGCTCCAACTCCCTCTCCAAATAGACATTCTGTTCGGAATACTCTGCTGCCTTTACCTTCTAGATGCCCCCACAGAATCCTTTTTTCCCAATTGCTCCACAAGGGATGTTGAGGTGTATTTTGTATCTGAAGGCTGCTCATGGTCATGCAGGAAACAGCAGACCCCCATTAGAGGAGGTGCTGGGACAGGTCTGTGTTGGGGGTTTAAAAAAAATAGGTGGAGGGGAGCAAATGGTACTGGGCCCAATAGATTTTAAGGCCAGAGGGAACTATTGGATCATCTAGTCTGTATAACACAGACCGTACAGTTTTACCCAGGTAGCCATCTACTGAGCCTAGGGTGACCAGATGTCCCAATTTTTATAGGGACAGCCCTGATTTTTGAGTCTTTTTCTTATATAGGCTCCTATTACCCCCCAACCCGATCCTGATTTTTCACACTTGCTGTCTGGTCACCCTAACGGAGCCGAATTGTGTTTCACTCAAGGATGCCTTCCAGAAAGGCATGTTATATTAACTTGGATGGAATAAATGGGCCCAGAGAGTAAAAGCTGTTAACATGACCCTGACACTGTACAATACTAAACAGTTAAACATAGCTCAGGTTTCAAGGTCAGAGCCTCAGCCTGCTTAGTCCCATGTGAGTGTAAACACCATTAAACAGCTTTTTAACCTTTCATTACAGAAAAAGAAGGAAAAAACTGTTAGAGCATTTCAAATGTAAATTATTATGCAGGTCTTTCATTTTAACACATCCCTGATTCCCATTCCCTAAGCTGTACAGAGTTTTTAGAAGGAAACACATCCCCCATCTGGCAATGTCTTACGTGGTGTTAAAGATGGTAATAACTGTCCTTTTCTGGGAGAAAAGGAGAAAGTTAGTGGAGACGAGCTGCTGTTGTAGTCTGATCCTGTTTCCTAGAAGATAAAACGAGACAAACACACATAAGAGGGAAAAGAGCAGCATAGAAAGAAAATGTAGCTTCTATCTCTGGTGCTGACTGTCACTTGCAGCATTGCTGCTGGGGAATCGCACATGGTCTTATCAGCCGCTGGCAAACTGGTAGCGGTGTTGGGCTGTTTAGAACATTGCTGTTAGCTGCCTCTCTGGTCACAGGCTTACAGCAGTGTCGCAAAATATACAGTCTTGGCCAGCTAAGCCAGACTTTCTTATTAAGCAGAAGGCAAAAGGAGAGGGATAGGAAAGAAGAAAAAAGGTGCGAAGAAAAAAGACACCATGCCGGGGGGGGGGGGTAGGGGTAGGGGGTAGGAAAGTCTCACAACCCAAATGGTGTTCAGGATCTAGCCACTGGGTCGTTAGATCCTGAACAGCATGTCCTTGGCTCCTTCTCTCTGGCCTGGGCTGGGCTGGTCAGGTCATTTCTCAAGATCAGGATGACAAAGGCCCTGTGGTGTCACCATAGGTCTCGGGAGATAGTGAGGGTGCCAGCCCTGATGGTGAAGCTCCTGCCTTCCTGTACTTCTGCCTCCCAGACAGCCAGCTATTTGTATTTTAAGGACCCCAAAAGGAAGTGATGGGTGAAATAGCCCTTGTCCACCAGTTCGGCCTGATTTCCAACACCATGTTTGGTCCATTGGTTTCTGGTTCCACACTTCTCTTGTTCACGAGACATAATTCAGCAGAGTCCTTCAGTTATATCAGTCTGTCTCCTTTTCATTCCTTTTCTCATCAATGTTTATTGTTATAAACTATTGTGACATTCTGTAAAATTTTATCCACATTCCCACAGTTAGGCTCATGCTTTGGGTAGGTAGGTGAGGCCCCAATTATTACAATAGGCATACAGTCTTGATTTGAAAACATTAAGAGATGAAGAATCCACTATTTCCCTTGGTAGTTTGTTCCAGTGGTTAATCAACCTCACTGTGAAAAGTGTGTGCTTTATTTCTAATTTGTGTTTGCCAGACTTTAATATCTCATAATTGGTTCCTGCTATGCCTTTATCCACTAGATTAAAGAGACTTATGTCCTGCATCAATACAGTAATTCAGAAGCTGAGCAGTGTATGGAATTCCCATGCTTCTCTCCCCAAAAGTCCTGTCCTCCCAAAGCAGGCACAATTTATGCATTGGATATCTCATCAGTGTGGGCCATCGCCTCTATAGGGAAGGAGTGGCTTTAGGCTCCACGCTATTCAGAGTGATGTTGATAAACAGTATTGCCACCCTCAGGCTTTTTAAAACCATGAGTCAGATTCCCAAAAATAATGAGATTTAAAAAAAAACACCCAATAGCAGGGTTCTTTTTATTTGCCATCGGTTTTGAGCTGTTAGTATATACTTGGGTCATGTTTTCAAGTTTTTTTTTCCAAAGACCATAAGGATTAGACTTTATATATATATATAGTCTAATCCTTATAATATATATATTAAATGAAAGCTGAGGTTGTCACATAATCAGAGGACCCCCCCCAATGTTTTTTAACTTATTTAAACCTATATTTAGATATATTACCACAAATTATGGTGGGGTAAAATTATTTCCGACTTGATTATGTAAAGAGTTGTCACTTTGGATGGGCTAGCACCAGCAGGAGAGTGAATTTGTGTGGGGGGGTGGAGGGTGAGAAAACCTGGATTTGTGCTGGAAATGGCCCACCTGTTGATCACTTTAGATAAGCTATTACCACAGGACAGTGGGGTGGGAGGAGGTTTTGTTTCATGATTTCTGTGTGTATATAAAGTCTGCTGCAGTTTCCACGGTAAACATCTGATGAAGTGAGCTGTAGCTCAGAATACCTTGAGACTAACACGGCTGTTCCTCTGAAACCAAATACCTTGAGACTCCCAATAAAATCGTAAGAGTTGGCAACACTGTTTGCTCTGTGATGCTTTTCATAGCAGATTAAATTAAGTCTGAAAGCATGGCAGAATGGGTAGTAAACTAACTGCTGGTGGACCAGAGCCTTAAAGAATCATCATCATGTGATAAACTAAATGGTGTCTATTTACACTTGTTTTTTAAAAAATGGAAGGTGCCGAACGGGAGACATGATGCACAATAGAAATTGTTAATTTGTTTGCATGCATGTGTGTTTTTTCTACTTTGCTACATTTCAATGATCCTTGTCTCCTTACTTGTTTTCCAGGCCATTAGTTTATTTGGGTTTAAAAGTTTTTGCCCGGTTTGGGGTCTGTGAATTTTTAAACTGTTCAGAAGCAACACTACGAGCCTGGTTCCAAGTGATTGAAGCCAACTACCACTCCACCAACTCGTACCACAACTCCACACATGCAGCAGATGTTTTACACGCTACTGCGTTCTTTCTTGGAAAGGAGAGAGTTAAGGTAGAACTTCCATTGTGAATTCTTTACTTTGACCCTTGAATAAACACGCTTTAGGACTAATCAGATTATTTGTTCATTAACAGATGTGTCCATGACAGCCTCTTGTTACAAATAACATATTTGTTACTTGACAGTCACACAGTAGAGCTGGGCATCTTTGCAACCAGTAGATAATGCTCCTAACTTCCTATGTCTGCTCTAGCCTTTGCACCTGCAGTCTTTGCTGAGACAAGTAATTTCTCTGAAGTCCATAGGACTATTAATGTGAGTAAGGAAATTAAACAAATAGCCGTTGCAGGATCACACCCTCCATTACTGTGCAATGCAGGAATGCTGAAACCTCTTTTCCCTTTTGTAATCTCTTGAAAATTTTGCTGGGGGAGTGTGAAGAGATATACACGATAAACCTAGGTGAATACAGAGAGAATACTGATCAGGAGTGGTAATGGCATTATTTTTTCTCCAGGGTTATTTTAGGAAATTGAATGCTATAAGGCTTCTAGTTAGAATGACCTTGCCCATCCCTTCCTTCTAGAAACATTTCTTTATTCACAGAAATGTAGCTGAAGCAATTATAAAACAATCTGTGTTTACCCTTTGAAAAATGGTATCTTCAGCCATTTTTCTAGCAAAAGGAGAAAGTTAGTATTTGGTTATCTGGTTTCCTTACCCCAAAATATGTTGTAGTCATATGGTCAAAATCAACTGTAAGACAGATGCAGAAAATAAATTTTAAATGAGATTTCTACATCTCAATTTACTTAAGTCAATGGCAGAAATATATTTAATTCTTTGATGAAAATTGTAGAACATGAATATTTTGGTCTGTACACAGTGCTTTGCAAAACACAAAATAGAAATCCTGCTGCATGGTGCTTACCATTGCAGACACACACTACGTGGCACAACAGCTCCAACAGAAGAAGGTGCAGAAAGATCACTGGGATGAAGATACAATAAGAAAGCTTCATAGAAGAAGTGGTTTTGAGATGGAGAAAGGATACTCTTGGCACTCAGTGAGTGGGAAGCTCACGCATGGAGAGAAGGCCTCTGTTCTGAAGAGCTTACATTTGAACTCCGATATTTACCTAGTGATATTTTAAAGATTGAATTGTGATTACTTACTACGTGATGAATAATGGTAGTTTTACTCTTTCTTGCAGGGAAACCTTGACCATTTAGATGAGGTGGCTGCATTAATAGCTGCCACAGTTCATGACGTGGATCACCCAGGACGGACCAACTCTTTCCTGTGCAATGCAGGAAGTGAATTAGCTGTACTTTATAATGATACTGCTGTATTGGAAAGCCACCATACAGCATTGGCATTCCAGCTCACAGCTAAAGACAACAAATGCAACATTTTCAAGAATATTGACAGGTTAGCTTGCTGTGTTTATTTTATTCCTTTTGGACACTGAAGGCGCCACTTTTGCTTAATATAGAAAATTCACACAAAAGCCTTTATCACTTCTAGAACTATACAATAGACCATTTAAAAAAAAAATTCTTTCTTCCCCATGTCAGCATTCCAAATGATACGTTTGGAAATGTAAAGATGTTTCATATTATTTTGTGGAATATGGTTTTACTTAAAAAACCAATTGACTCGAACTCCAGGTGAACGGGAGGGGTTGCGGAAGTATATTGTTACTATCCCTGGAATACTGAATTCTGTGTATTGATTACTCTAGCATGTGAACCTAACTTTCGTTATTTAAAAAGATTTCTATGAGTGCCCTGGTGACTTCCTGTTCCTGCTTATTTCAGACAGATACTTTACCACATCCCTTTTGAGGTTATGGCATCTTACGAGTGACTTGTAATTGTACTGATTTAGTTTTAAGTTATGTAAAATGGCCACAGGCCACTAAAACCCCTGCTGACATGAATGCAACTACAGTCACTGTTCTGAGTTGCTTTCAAGTTAGTCCATTTTATGTTCGATTTCTGTCTCAAAATGCTTTTTGTGAATGTTGTGAGGAGATCAGGAGAAACACAGTTAACTCTGGCAATGGCCTGCATGAGTAAATTGTTTCATTTTTCTCTTTTAGGAACCATTATCGGACATTGCGCCAGGCTATTATTGACATGGTTTTGGCAACAGAGATGACAAAGCACTTTGAGCATGTGAACAAATTTGTGAACAGCATCAACAAGCCGATGGCATCTGAGGAAAGCAACTCAAATGTAAGATAAATCAGCTTGCTGTTCTGAAGGACTTTGATCTGTTTAAGCATCAAGCAAACATTTAAATGTTGTTTTCATGTACTTATATTTATTTGCACTGTGGCAATGCCCAAATGCCACAATCAAGATCCTGACAAATGTAAGGGGACTGTTGCCCCCTTACTAACATTCAGTGGGGGTGTTTCAGTTGCTAGCTCCCAGTTCTAAAAAGGGGGAAGGGTTGATGGGGAATCAGGACCCTGAGACTGACAGCCCCCAGGAACAATGGGGAGAGGCCAATGCTCCAGGTCAGCCTGAATAACAGGGCGGGCAGGCTAATCAGGGAGTCAGGAGGCCGGGGAGGTCCTGTCCTCTGTGTGAGCTGGAAATGCCTGGATCAGACAGAGTGGGGCCGAGCTAAGGAGAAAGCAGGGGCCCAAGCTAAGCTGGGGAGCAGAGCTGTGCCAGATCCAGAGGGACCAGAAAAGCAGCCCAGAGAGAGCAGACCCTGTCCTGGGAGCAGAGCTGCAGCAACTAGAGCCAGAGGGGCCAGAAAACCAGCCCACGAAGCAGGTCAGTGCTGGGAGCAGAGTCACAGAAGCAGCCTGCAGAGCAGACCTGTCCTGGGAGCAGATCTGTAGCAACCAGAGCCAGAGGGGCCAGAGAAGCAGCCCAGGGAGCTGGAGGCAGAGCAGCAGCTGTGCTGAGATAGAGTGGACCTGGAGCTAAGACAGTGGAGCTGGAGTTGGGGCAGGAGCAGTCCAGAGCCAGGTGTTGTGAGCAGCTGGGGAGAGCGAGGGGGGACCCTGGGCAATGGGCCCAACACAGGGAGATGCCTCAGCCAGGAGGCTCTGCAGGCCAAACTCGAAGGGGGATTGATAATCCCGACAGGGCGGGGGCAACACTGGGAAGAAGGGCCCTGCCACCCAGAACCTGTGGCCACCACCAGAGCGAGTGTCCAACCCATAGCATCCCTGCAGCACAGCCAGGGCCTGAGAAGAAGGCCTGGGACTTACAAGGAACAGACTGTGAACTGCCCTGACATTCCAGAGACACTGTTTGTGATGTTCCCTGCCACAGAGCGGGTTGATGTGTTTCCTTTAACCTTTCCCATTTCCCCTTATTCTTTTTAAAATTAATTGTTGATTAAATAACTTGCATTTGCTTCAAATTGTATGTAATAGTCAGTAGGTCAGAGAAGTGCCCAGTGCAGAGAGTGTACCCCGGAGTGGGGACACCCTAGCCCCTGTCCTAGGTGACCACAGCAGGGTTGGGGGTCGAGCCCCCCAGGAATCCTGGGCCCTGCCTTGTTGGGGTTACGAGGACTCTGCCAGACAGGAGAGTGGAAGGGGAGTCCTCAAGGGCAGGGAGGCCACTGGGTAAAGGAACTGGGAGCAAGGACTCAGATCCTTTCACTAGTCCACTTCACTGGGGTAGTGCAGAAGCCAGGAAAGTTCCCAACAATAGCGGGACTATTCCCTTGCTTACACTATGGTGCTAGATGCAGTACAAACACAGGAAAACATAGTGCCAGGCCCTGGCCCAAAGAGCTTAAATCATCTGATGTTGTAGGCCATACTTTCATAGAATTATAGAAGATTAGGGTTGGAAGAGGCCTCAGGAGGTCATCTAGTCCAACCCCCAGCTCAAAGCAGGACCAACCCCAACTAAATCATCCCAGCCAAGGCTTTGTCAAGCCGGGCCTTAAAAGCCTCTAAGGATGAAGATTCCACCACCTCCCTAGGTAACGCATTCTAGCGCTACACCACCCTCCTAGTGAAATAGTTTTTCCTAATATCCAACCTAGACATCACCCTTGAGACCATTGCTCCTTGTTGGTAATCTGCCACCACTGAGAACAGCCAAGCTCCATCCTCTTTGGAACCCCCCTTCAGGTAGTTGAAGGCTGCTATCAAATCCCCCCTCATTCTTCTCTTCTGCAGACTAAATAAGCCCAGTTCCCTCAGCCTCTCCTCATAAGTCATGTGCCCCAGCGCCCAAAGCATTTTTGTTGCCCTCTGCTGGACTCTTTCCAATTTGTCCACATTCTTTCTGTAGTGGAGGGCTCAAAACTGGATGCAACACTCCACATGTGGCCTAACCAGTGCCGAATAGAGGGCAATAATGACTTCCCTTGATCTGCTGGCAGTGCTCCTACTAATGCAGCCCAATATGCCATTAGCCTTCTTGGCAACTGTTGACTCATATCCAGCTTCTCGTCCACTATAATCCCCAGGTCCTTTTCTGCAGAATTGCCGCTTAGCCAGTCGGTCCCCAGCCTATAGCAGTGCATGGGATTTTTCGGTCCTAAGTGCAGGACTCTGCACTTGTCTTTGTTGAACCTCATCAGATTTCTTTTAGCCCAATCCTCCAATTTGTCTAGGTCACTCTGGACCCTATAGCTACCGTCCAGCATATCTACCTCTCCCCCCAGCTTAGTGTCATCAGTGAACTTGCTGAGGGTGCAATCCATCCCATCATTCAGATCATTAATGAAGATGCTGAACAAAACCTGCCCCAGGACAGATCTCTGGGGCACACCGCTTGATACCGGCAGCCAACTAGACATCAAGCCATTGATCACTACCCGTTCAGCCCAACGATCTAGCCAGCTTTCTATCCACTTTATAGTCCATTAATCCAATCCATACTTTTTTAACTTGCTGGTAAGAATACTGTGGGAGACCATATCAAAAGCTTTGCTAAAGTCAAGATATATCACATCCACCACTCTCCCCATATCCACAGAGCCAGTTATCTCATCATAAAAGGCAATCAGGTTGGTCAGGCATGACTTGCCCTTGGTGAATCCATGTTGACTCTTCCTGATCACCTTTCTCTCTTTCAAGTGCTTCAAAATTGAGTCTTTGAGGACCTGCTCCATGATTTTTCCAGGGACTGAGGTGAGGCTGACTGGTCTGTAGTTCCCCAGATTCTCCTTCTTCCCTTTTTTAAAGATGGCAGTATATTTGCCTTTTTCCAATCATCCAGGATCTCCCCCGATCACCATGAGTTTTCAAAGATAATGGCCAATGGCTCTGCAATCACACCAGCCAACTCCCTCAGGACCCTCAGATGCATTAGATCCGGCCCCATGGACTTGTGCATATCCAGCTTTTCTAAATAGTCCTTAACGTGTTCTTTGCCCACTGAAGGCTGCTCACCTACTCCCCATGCTGTGCTGCCCAGTGCAGCAGTCTGGGAGCTGACCTTGCCAAGACCGAGGCAAAAAAAGCATTGAGTACTTAAGCTTTTTCAACATCATCTGTCACTAGGTTGCCTCTCCCATTCAGTAAGGGTCCCACACTTTCCCTGGCCGCCTTCTTGTTGCTAACATGCCTGTAGAAACCCTTCTTGTTACCCTTCACATCCCTTGCTAGCTGCAACTCCAATTGTGCTTTGGCCTTCTGATTATACCCCTGCATGCTATAGCAATATTTTTGTACTCCTCACTAGCCATCTGTCCAAGTTTCCACTTCTTGCAAGCTTCCTTTTTGTGTTTAAGCTCACCAAAGATTTCTCTGTTAAGACAAGCTGGTCAACTGCCATATTTGCTATTCTTTCTGCACATCGGGATGGTTTGTTCCTGTGCCCTCAATAAGTCTTCTTTAAAATACAGCCAGTTCTCCTGGACTCTTTCCCCCCATCATATTAGCCTCCCAGGGGATCCTGCCCATCAGTTCCCTGAGGGAGTCAGTCTGCTATTCTGAAGTCCAGGGTTCAAAGTCTTCCTAACTGTATCAACAAAATTTGGAAATATATCCATTTGTGCAAAATTCTACATGCTGAGCAGAATCAGCATTTGTGTGTAGTTATCCAGGTCAGTTTGTGTTTCCAAATGGGGATTTTTATATGAATTAATAAAGGCATCAGCAGACTTTACATGTGCAATTAGAAAAGCTATTGACAATTTGGCCTTAACTATTTTAAAATGAAACCCATTTCTGGAACCTTTAAGAAAGATTGAATAATTCTCACTTTTTTTCTTTTTATCACTCTATTTATCGTTTTGCCAGAGCCCGCACCCCAACCCCCTCCCTTTTATCATTCTGCCTTTGGTCCCCTCTTTTGTCGCTCCTATTTGTCACCCCGTGCTCCTTAAGCAGCTGTAGTCAGCTTCTTGACAACATCTCTTGGGATCAGTCTTATGCCCTGTGCTTTTTGACTGAGTGCTCCAGGTCTGGTGCCTCTTATCCCTGTTTGTCTCTCCTCAAAGTCAAATGTTTGGTCTGTGTCCCAATAATCAACTGCCACAAAGTTCCTCAAAACAGTCTTGGCCACTAAAAAAAAAAAAAAATCTACTTAAGCCTCTGCTTAAAGAAAATAAATGTATTAGAAAAATTGAGAAAATGCTATCAAATCAAAGGTAAATGACACAAAAATACATACCTAGATCTAAGACTCCCCTCACCTTATCTAGGTAAACACTAAATGCTCACATCTTTAGGCTTCTGTGCCTCAAACAAGCTCATATCAAGATTTTTCTGTGTTCATATATGGGTATGTTAATTTACTTCTGGTATTAAATGGCCCCTTTGCCTGCCAGTTATATTCTTTATACCCTTTGAAGGGACAGTTGTGAGAATGCATTAATATGTTCACTATGAGGTCATGGGATTTTGGACAGTGATTTAATGTCTCTGTCCCCTGAAAATGTGGTATTTTCCAAGATTATTAAACTTTGCCTCGTTTGTTCAGGGAGGCAGTTGTCCTTCTCCTGCCTCTTCTTATTAATTTCAAAGTTCCTTTGTCTTGCAAATAAAATTATCACCAGCCTTTCCCACATACAGTAGCTTTCTCCCCAGGAAGGCATGGTCAGTTACATGTAGAAAGATCTAGTTTAATTGTTAGACAATATGCAAATCTCTCTTTCAGAGTCTTAAAAATCCCCAGCTGCTCAATAACATGAGTAGATAGCAGATATGATTTTTCCATAGATAGTATCCCATCTGCAGTAAAGACCCTTCCCTAACTGCAGGAGTGTACCTGACAGAACTGGGGGAGAGGTTTGTGGACCACCATTTTATCGCTGTTTACCACTAATCGTTCCCACTATCCTTTGCCATGTTTATAGGAAGGACAGAAGTCCCTTGTATCTGTAAACTCAAGACGAGAGAGGAGATTACACCTAACCTAGTGTTTCCTGAAGGATAGCACCCACCGCTATACCTAGGCAGTTATGATAACAGTAATCCTTGCACTCTTACCTGTATCTAGCTATTTCATATATCTTTAAACAAGGAACATCTGCTTCCTCCATTGTTTCATGGAGGTGTGGTGAATAGCTGGAATGGATTTTTTTCAGTTGAGGAGTGTCATTTTGTAGTAGAATTTGGATGACTGAATGCAATTTGACAAATTAAGACCATTATTACACTTCACGTTGAGGAATAAGCCTCTTTGCTTGCCATCTTCAGAGTTGTTGCCTAGCTTGCTAGGCATGGCATGCTGGGGCGTGGGCTTTGGCCAGCTTCCCACTTGCAGAAACGTGGAAGAAATTCTACAGCCTGCATAGCTTCCTTAGAGATGAACCGTAGTTCTGAATGCAAATCTTGAGGCTGTAGCTCTCTGCACCGGCTATTCATTATTAAAGCTGGAATCGTTCTGAAGTCTTTCAGGAGTAGATCCATTTTAATATATGTTTTCCCATTTTTAAAGCTTTAATGTTTTCCAACAGTTGAGTGCCCCGTCAACTTAGGTGCACAAGTACCACTGAATGTCATTGTGCTCCTAAATCCCCGAGGTGGTTTTGAAAGTCCCACATTCCTGTAGTAAAGGGATTTAGCACTTACTGATGTGCCACTACATGTTTTTCATACATTCTGCTTCAGTCAGCATTTTTAAGCTATAAAAAGCATTTCCTCTGATTGAGTGATTGACTCTCCTTTATTTTACCAGTTTATAGCAGAGACTATTGTAAAATATACAAAGACTTGGGGAGTAATAAAACTGCAACACAGAAAAGTGATATTACCAGCTTTCCTCCCCCAGCAGTAGTTTGTTGTAGGTTGTAGGTATTGTTAATGGTGCCTCTTCCTATTTTTGATCTTTAACAACAGTTAGGAGGAAGCATTAATTTGGCGGCTCTTTGCTGGTAAACCTATGCTGAATAAAATTAACCGTTAAATATTGAGATAAGAGTAATGCCCCAAATTGGTAACAGTCACTGCAAAATATTTCCTCATAAACCACACAGACATTAATTTCAGCACTAGTGATAAAAAGTATTTATGTTCAATTTTTGACTGAGTTGAATGTAGTAAGAGAAGGGAGGACATAATTACACAAATATATTACTTTTGTGAGCAGCATTAATGTCATGGTGAGCTCAGTTTTATTGCTCAGTAAGGAGCCAATCCCCCATAACATGTCTGTGCCCAGAGATGGATTAGGGGTTTGTGGGGCCCTGGGCCAGAGCAAGTGGGGGCTCCTCCCCACCCCTTCCGCCCGCAGACCTCCTCCAGCGCTTATGCTGGGGAAATGGAGTCAGGCACGGGCTTGCCCTGCTCCGTCTCCCCCCACCCACCCACCCACTAGCCCAGCACTCCTGCCAGGGAGCGGGGTCAGGGTGCAGGGGCTTCCCCACTCCCTGGCAGGAATGCCAGATTATAACTCCCTGGCAGGAATGCCAGGTGGGTGGAGCAGGGCAGGCCCCCTTGCCCTGGCCTCACTCCCCAGCAGGAGCACCGGGCGGGCAGGGTGTGGGGGCGTTCATTTTTCTGGAGGGCCCGTAATTGGCTGTGGCTCAGGGCATAGGCCCCGTTGGCCCAGTGGCTAATCCGTCACTGCCTGTGCCCTTGTAAACTATACACGGCCCAGAAGACTGCTCCATCAGAGGTTTGCCACAAATGTTCCAACCCTGCCACCTACTCTGCAAAGCAGCTGGTAAGGGGTGAACTGCAGAATTGCTTAGGAAGTAGAGAGCTCTTGCAAATGACCTCTTCCTTTCTGTTTCAGTGATGGTTTTCTGGGCTGTCTCAAAGCTACCCAAGGCATAAAGGAGTAATTCCTACTCTGGGGCTTAAAATCCAGCCCAAAGGCCACACAGGGAAATTACTGTTTGTTTCAAAACTTATAAAAACTAACTGGAGCTGCTGCTCTATCCTCCAAAATGCCGTGGGCAAGTCACTTTATATCTCTGTGCCCAAGTTTCCCCATCTATAAAGTGAGGATCAGACCTTCCCTCCTTTCTCAGATGTAGATCTCAAAGAGCTTTATAAGTGCTACATAAGTTCTACATATTGTTATAATGTCACCTCTAAAATGCTAATTCCAATCCAGATCACTTTTATGACTGAAAGCTGTTTACTAGCTTCCAGCTATCGGGTGATACCTATGCAATAAGATTGATAGTCCTTTGTCCACATCACAAACAGCCACCCCCACAATTGCTTTTCTTGGTTGATGAGGAAAGAAAAAGTCAGTGACTCTTTCTTTTGCTGACTTCATAACTAATTCTGAAAATCTCCCAAACTTCTAACGCAGGTAATGTGATTATAACTACCTAGTAATACTGCTATACACAAGAGAAACTTTTTCTCCTCTCTGCTTTTTGTATTTAACCTGTTGCTGGAACACGTTGCTCACCATAATAGAGGCTCAAACTATATGTATACTCCTATGACGAGGTGATCCACTCACCACTGCTAGGATTACACTACCTCCTGGGAGTTGTGGAGACAAGCTTGCAAGGTCGACACCCCTTCCCACAGTTGCACACCGTCTCTCCACCTCTGGGTGTGCAGCACCTCTCTTGCATCACGAGTTGCTGCTGCCTCTTCATGACTTAGCCGTCTGGCCAAGTCATTCTACATGTATTCTCCTCCCAGGGTACAAAAATCTTCCTTCAGCAGTCCTAGGCAGTCTTTCCATTCACTGCCTTGTAGTGCCACTCCCTCAGTGGCTGGCATGGGAACCCGGGCTTGCCATTTATTCTGGGTTTCGGTTCAGGGACCCTCTAACCAGCAGTCAAAGTTTGTTCCTTTCTAGACCTTACTGCCTTTCCCCGAGCCCTGTCCTACCTTCCTCCCCTCATTGGGTTTGCCAGTCCAAGTGCACCTCCCTTCTCCCAGGGAGTGACTGCAGACTTTCCCAGCAGTCCCTTCTACTATCAGCTTCCTGCCTTGATAAATCCAGCCCATCTCATTCCTCTTCGTTCAGGGCATTGCATAGCCACCTGATTCCTCTCAGCTATGGCCTGTTTGATCAATTCTCCCTCCTCTTAGCCTACATTAACCTTTTCCAGGCAAGTGCAGGGTGAACACACTATCACAACCCCAAATTAAAAAAAACAACCAGAGTATCAAAAAAAAAAAAGTCACCATGGCAAAACAGAGTAAAAGAGGTGGTTAAAGACAAGAAGAGATCCTTTAAAAATTGGAAGTCAAATCTTACTGAGGAAAATATTTAATTGGGGATTGGTCCTGCTTTGAGCAGGGGGTTGGACTAGATGACCTCCTGAGGTCCCTTCCAACCCTGATATTCTATGATTCTATGAAATAGAAAGGAGCATAAACTCTGGCAAGTCAAGTGTAAAAATATAACTAGGCAAGCCAAAAACAAAGTTTTGAAGAGTAACTAGCAAAAGTCTAAAATTTTTGTTGTTCGTTTGTAAGTACAACAGAAGCAGGAAGCCTGCCAAACAATCAGTGGGGCCACTGGACAATCGAGCATTCAAGGAAGACAAAGCCATTGCAGAGAAGCTAAATGAAGTCGTTGCATCAGTCTATGCTGCAGAGGATGTAAGGGAGATTCCCACATTTGAACCATTCTTTTTAGGTGACAAATCTGAGGAACTGTCTCAGAATGAGGTGTCAGTAGAGGAGGTTTTGGAACAAATTGATAAATTTAAACAGTTATAAGTCATCAGGAGCAGATGGTATTCACCCAAGAGTTCTGAAGGAACTCAAATGTGAAATTGCAGAACTACTAACTATGTGTAAGACACAGATTTTTGTCACAGATATTTTTAGAAAAAGTCACAGACAGGTCATAAACAATAAAGAAAAATTCACATAAGCCCGTGACCTGTCTGTGACTTTTACTAAAAATATGCATGACAAAATGTCCAGTATTGGGGGTAGCCGTGTTTGTCTGTATCCACAAAAACAGCAGGGAGTCCAGTGGCACCTTAAAGACTAACAGATTTATTTGAGCATAAGCTTTCGTGGGTAAAAAACCCACTTCTTCAGATGCATGGAGTGAAAATTACAGATGCAGGCATTATATACTGACTGACACATGAAGAGAAGGGAGTTACCTCACAAGTCAAAATGGGTAGCTCTGGGCCCACACCACCTGTTGGGGCTCAGAGCTCCAGGGTCCCCTGTGGCTCGGAGCTGCAGGCCCACAACGGCTGGGAGCCAAGCGGGGGGGACGGGACACGACACCCCCACAGCTCCCAGTCACCACAGGCTGAAGTCACGGAGGTCTCGAAGTCATGGATTCCATGACTTCCGCACCCTCCACGACTAAATCATAGCCTTAACTATGTACATTACCTATCACTTAAATCAGCTTGTGTTCCAGATGACTGGCAGATAGCTAATGTGGTGCTGATTTTTTTTTTAAGTCGCCAGAGGCAATCCTGGCAATTACAGGCCAGTGAGCCTAACTTCAGTACCAGGAAAATTGGTTGAAACTATAATAAAGGACAGAATTATCACACACATGGAGTAACATGATATGTTGGCGAAAAGTCAGTATGGCTTTCGTAAAGTGAAACCATGCCTCATCCATCTGTTAGAATTCTTTGAGGAGGTTAACAACAGTGGACAAGGGTGATCCAGTGGATAGTGTATTTGGACTTTCAGAAAGCCTCACCAAAGGCTCTTAAGCAAAGTAAGCAGTCATGCCAGAAGAAGGAAGGTCCTCTCATGGATCAGTAACTGGTTAAAAGACAGGAAACAAAGTGTAGGAATAAATGGTTGGTTTTCACAGTGGAGAGAGGTAAATAGCAGGGTTCCCCAAGAATCTGTACTGGGACCTGTGCTGTTCAATATACTCAGGAATTATCTGGAAAAGGGGGTCAACAGTGAGATAGCAAAGTTTGCAGATTATATAAAATTTACTCAAAATAGTTAAGTCCAAAGCAGACTGTGAAGATTTACAAGGGGATATCACAAAACTGGGTCACTGAGCAAAGAAAATGGCAGATGACATTCAATGTTAATAAATGCAAAGTAATGCATTTTTACTCCCAACACTAGCAGAAATTAATGCAAACAGAGCTGATGCAGAGGAGGAAGCTGCAACCCGCATACCTGCCTAAATCTTTCAAAATGAGTGATAGTAGTGGATGGCCTAAAATGATGCGCCTAAATTAGCTATTACCACTCAGAAAGAGATCTTGGAGTCATTGTGGCTAGTCCTCTGAAAACATCTTCAGGGATAGGTAGTAAGGCAGAAAATATCATAATGCCACACTATAAATCCATGGTCCACCCACACATTGAATACTGCATGCAGTTCTGATCGCCTCATCTCAAAAAAGACAATTAGAATTGTCAAAAGTACAGAGAAGGGCAACAGAAATGAGTAGGGGAATGGAACCGCTTCCGTATGAAGAGAGATTAAAAAGACTGGGACTGTTCAGCTTGGAAAAGAGACTCCTGAGGGGGGATATGATCGAGGTCTATAAAATCATGACTGGTTTGGAGACAGTGACTAAGGAAGTGTTATTTACTCCTTCACATAACACAAGGACCAAGGGCCACCTAATGAAATTAATAGGCAGCAGGTTTAAAACAAACGTAAGGAGTACTTCAACGCACAGTCAACCTGTGGATCTCGTTTGCAGGGGATGTTGTGAAGGCCAAAAGTATAAGTGGGTTCAGAAAAGAATTAGATAATTTCATGGAGCATAAGTCCATGAATCGCTATTAACCAAGATGGTCAGGGACGCAACCTCATGCACTGGGTGTCTCTACACCTCTGATAGCTGGAAGCTGGGACTGGATGACAGGGGATGGATCATGGGATAAACTTCCCTGTTCTTTTAACTCCCTCTGAAGCATCTGGCTTTGGCCACTGTCAGAAGACAAGATACTGGGCTAGATAGCCAATTGGTCTGACCCAGTATGGCCGTTCTTCAGAATCTAGAGTACCATGGATATAATTGGAGACAGTGCGCATTTATTAGAAGCGTTTCAGAGAGGAATGAAACAATGATGAGTTTATACTTGTTGTCAGTACTGATGTTGCCACCAAACTGTGACTGACTCCCCCTGTTACAGAGTGAGGGCAGTGACTGTGAATGTGCACCCAACGTAAAGAATTTTCCAGAGAACCAGACACTGATCAAGCGCATGATGATAAAATGTGCAGATGTAGCAAATCCTTGTCGCCCTTTAGAACTGTGTATTGAATGGGCTGGGAGGATTTCAGAGGAATATTTTGCACAGGTATGTTTTATTATTATTATTTATTATTATTATTTGAATACATCTTATTAGCTCACACACAAGTGCACACATACCATCCACTCTGTGCTAGTCACTTTAGAGTCCATCTAATATTCCTATAGATTCAAAATAGAAATGGTTTTAATCTACTTTTCTCCCACTACTAGGATCTCTCTGTTTCATACGAGAAAAACATGCCCACATCTAAACCTTCAACTATTCATGACTAAGGCTCTGGGTTTGTCACAGAAGTCACGGATTCTGTGACTTCTGCAGCAGCCCATGTGGCTGGCCCAGGAGTCGCACTGGCTGATGCTGGGGCAATCTTGGGCCTCCCCGACTCCCAGCAGCAGGAAATTTTGGGGGACGTAGCTTGGGGTTGGGGCTGCTGCTCACCTAGTGGGGGCTCCTCTCCCTCTGCTCCCCTCGCTCCACATGCAGCATCTGCCAGTAGCCAGGCACCATCCCCGCAGCTTCCATTGGCCATAGTTCCCAGTCAATAGGAGCTGCAGAACCAGGGCTTGGGGCAGCTACTTCCCAGGAGCTGGGTAAGGAGCCTGCCCCAGCCCCACCAGCCCCCTCCCAGCACCCGCACCCTCACCCCTGAGCCTCCTTCCCCAGCACCCACAGTGCCCTCCCCCAGGGCTGCACCCCCATCCCCAGCACCTGTGGTGCCCCCTGAGTCCCCGTCCCCCCCAATTTTAGTCAGGGATATTTTTAGTAAAAGTTGTGGACAGGTCACGGGCTGTGAATTTTTGTTTACTGCCCATGACCTGTCCATGGCTTTCACTAAAAATACCCGTGACTAAAACGTAGCCTTATTCATGACCTGCTGCCTACAGGGCCAGACTGAGTTTAGTATTAGGTTTGCAACGTGAAACTATTTGGAGAGCACTTTCATGCTTCAATTGTTCTACTTTCTGTTACCTTCTCAGTCTGCCCAACAGCCCAAGAGATAATTACTCATCATGTTACAATCACCATTCCAGTTTCCAGTCAGACCACTCTCCCAGATGAAGGTAGTAAAGAATTCTGTGTCTGCAGGGACACCTTGGTGTTCAGTGGAGGATACGTTTCCCTCTGTCATACTTGAACTAATATCTCCGTATGGGGTTATGCAGCACTCTGCTATTGGAGGTGTTACTTTTCAGATATGCTGTAAGACCAACCACATGTGATCACTAAAGTTGCCATGGTAACCTTCATAAGACTAGGGACGTGAGCCCCACTTTCCTTCCTCACTTTTAGTGCCGTTATGCCTCCTCCAGACATTTCCTGCAGTTTCCTGAAAATGAAATAGTCTTCAGTTCCTGCTCCAAAGCACTGTGGACTATTGAAAAGCTCTTGGGTGCCACGCCGCTAGTGGCAATGTTTCAGCGGTGAGAGAAGTGATCTCTCATCCCAATCTCAGTGTTGGCTTGAGCGTAAAGCACTTAAATGACCGCCGTAGCAATGCAAAATATTATTTACCCTGTGTGATTTCCCAAACAGTGTGCTCGAGGAAACTAAGAGCTGCACGGGAGACAGATGGCTGATACATTTCAGCTGTCAAAATCCAAATGGGAGATATGGCACGGTTATTAATGGAAACCATAGTGACAGTTCTCAGAACGTTTTGGAGTTCAGCTTTATTCCACTGAGTTGAGCCTCTGGATACTTTCTAACCCTAACTCTTAACATGGACTTGATTAAACATTGATTAAAATATTATAAAAATGTACTGCGAAATAAAGATGTTGTTACAATTTAATTAGTACTTACTGTCATTATGAGGCAGCAGCTGACTCTAGCTCTAGGCACTTGTCTGATTTGTCTTAATATTATAAATCTTTATAATTATAAAAATAAGTATAATTACAGTTAAGGAAAAGGGCAAAAGATAAGAGGGAAAAGATTTCCCTATTCGTATCTCTTCTGTGCACCGTGGACAGAGCTCTGTAGTGGGTCTCTAGCTAGGACTATGGAATAGGGCATGGTGGACACGTCAATGCAGCAATGACAGCGGGTCCACACAGTGAAAGTGTCAGGGTTAGTAATGTTGTTATAAGTAGATTTTTTTTGTTTGGTTTTTTTTTCCCCTCCAAAAAAAATAAACATGATCCTTGAACTAGGAGTTGTTAATCCATCTTAACCAAGGACACAGTAATCCCCCCAAGGAATTAATCACATTAAACTACTAGTTTGCAATTTTTGTGTTCTGGTGATTGGCTAAAGAACCACTTATTGTTTTGGTCTACTTACAAATTCACCTAATCCTCAGCTTGTCGTCACCCTAGGAGGGCAAAGGCAAAGCTTTAAAGGCTAATATTAGCTTTGTTTTCTACAGACAGATGAAGAGAAAAGACAGGGTCTACCAGTTGTAATGCCAGTATTTGATCGAAAGACCTGTAGCATCCCCAAGTCTCAGATATCCTTCATCGATTATTTTATAACAGACATGTTTGATGCCTGGGATGGTAAGAAGTTTACATTTTCTTCTTTCTCTGTTGAAGAGCAAATCCCTGTTACAAACTCGATGATATTCTCTCATGAATTGTCTCAAGCCCTGTTCTACTGTTTTCCATTTCAATAACTGTGTCAATACTGAATATGCAGGAGGATCTAAACATTAGTTGTGTAAATTGCATGATTTATACTGAAATTGAACATTATTGTAGATCATTTCAGAGAATCAAGTACTTTTAAAAATAAAACATTTTATTCACCTTGTTTAATGATTTAAGATGAAAATTGTTATTTTTTACCAACTTTCTCCTTTAGCAGAATATTTCTTCTGAGCAAATGAAAATTAAGATATATCTTCCTGTTAGTGTACCAGAATTATTGATAAATCAGCCCACTCATAAAAATAGGATTTGCTTACCGGTGCTGTTGTTGTGAAAACAGCGCAGAATCTTGCCCCTAATAACACTACTTAATAGTAGTGCAACATGTAAAAGGATGGCAAGGTTACACCCAGATCACCTGCCAGATTATAATAGTGTAAACGTTAGGCCAAGTGAGGCTGGTGCTATCCTTCTGAACACTATGCCGTACAAAGCTGTGATATGTTACTGTTCCTTCTGTCCACTGCAGCATTTGCACATCTACCTGATTTGATGCAACACTTGGCTGTTAACTACAAACACTGGAAAACATTAGATGAGTTAAAATGCAAGAGTCTCAGGCTTTCAGCAGAAAACAACAACTGAAGCAAAGAGAAGAAAACAGGACCTCTTGATCTACCAGTCACACTGTGAATCATTTACTAAATTAGATACAAGAGGCATTGTGTCTCCTTTCATATGAACTTAAAAACTCTGCAGCAAGGAGAAAATATTTTACTCCTCACTTTTAAAATGCTCTAAATTCAACAAAATTGTTTTTCATCAAGGTATGTAACTGGAGATGAATAAATGGTCTTTGGAACTATCCTTTCATGGCAGAACAGGTATTTCTAAAGCTAATTTGTAATGTTTGTTTTAGTGCGTTTGTCAAATCTTGTAACTGGTGCAATTTTATTTAGTGACTTAAATATACTATTTACAAATGGTTCTCCAACAAAAGTGTAATCTATTCACCTGTGAAATGCAAATAAGTTAATCAAACACAAAATAGAGTAAAAACCACCATAATTTGGCATAAATTTGCCCCCATTATGTAAGTTTTCCTCACAAGGAAAACCTTTTAAGAACTTTATTTCTAAAGAGAAGCTCTAGAGTAGAACAAGTGAGGCTTCATCAATAGTTGCAAAACCTACTGCTTTCAGAGGAACACTGCCTAGACTGCCTACAACTTAAACCATTTGTTATTAATCAAAGATTGAATATAATTTTACCTCTGTCACATTGCACAGATCAATCTGTTTCTCTCCTTTCCCATATAAACTCTTGATTGTTATAATTAAATCAGTCTAATTTAATTACATTTGTTATAGAGAGGGGATTTATCATGGTTCATATAATTGGTGCGATTCACTCTTTTCTCTGCCATCATACAGAGGTTACCAGGAGACATTTTGTCATATTTTACATGTAAGCCAATACAGTGTGGGATTGATCAACAAACTTTTTTTAATAAAATGTTGTTTGTACACATGGTCACTAAGATTTTATTAAATCTAAATTTTATGGACACAAGGCCATATGTTGTGGGGTGTGTGTGTGTGTGTGTGTGTGTATATACACACACACACACACACACATTATATATATGAGTATGGACCTGTAGCTTTTTAAGAGTTTTCAGGTTATAAATTATAACAGCATTATAACTTATGCTTTTTTCCCCTCTAATCCCTCTAATAGAATATGCTGTTTTATTAGATGATGTAAAAAGTATTTCAAAAGCTGTAAATAAGTTAGAAACTGAACATAGTATTTTCATTAGTTTTAAAATATGAAATTTATGGTAACGCTTCCAAAGCACAAATGCATATTTTTATACACCTCATTTTAATCATGACTTTGTGCAAACCCTGAGTTCAGATTTTAGACTTTGTTTAATACTAGCAAAACAGCTAACAGCAATTACTGATTTTTAACACTGTGCACTCCAAGCTGCAGTCAAGAGTTGCGAGCTGTGACTTCGTAGAAAGAGGTAACGCATTGCTCAGAGAAAATAAAGGACTTGGGACAAGCTCTATACCTCTGTTTTGTGCTGTATCAAGTAGTAAACCAGGTAAAAAGAAAACAGATATACTGCTGTGGAGGAAAAATGACAATGATTGTAGTTTACTGCAGGAAGCTTACATAATGTGCCAACATTTTTTCTATGTTTTGTACCAAGTTATGTAAACAAATGGAAACCGTACAATTTCCGTGCAGAGAAATGTATATAAGCTATATTTTTGTTAAAATTGTAATCGAACCTTATTTTTGTCATAGCTGAGGCAGTTTGCTGTGTATTATAATGCTGCATTGTGTATATTTGACGAATGGTGTTTTTGGTGAACTGTCTATATTCATTGTTCCCATAATGTACCACTACACGAAGTTTCAGCTCTGATTATATTTCTTTCCAATGGATTTTTATTCAAATAAGTTGACTTCTATGTTTTATACTGTAAAATGTTTGTTCTTCTCATTCTTTCATTTACGAGCAAGTGTTCTGGTTATATCTTGAACCAATTATATGCTGACAGACTTGACTCTCGTTGCAGTTTCTGTTGGAAAGATCTCCTAGGAAACTTCAGAGTGTTGTCACTTGAACTCAGTTTGTTAAATACAATATCAGTTTTCTGACTATAAATGCTGTGTATAAAGATTTACTTCAGCTTCCTATTGTCAAATTTTATACCAACTTCAAACTCTTTCAGTACTGCAGGAGATGTTAACTGTTGAAGAAATAAAGCTCATCCACAGTTCTGTTCATCTGAAGCTTTAATCTGCAGTCAATATTAGTTGTAAAACGCTACACTCTTTCCCCAACACATGAAGAAACAAAATTGGGGTTAAGCAAGGTAACTAGTAGTGGAATGATGACCTTGTGCAATAAAAGCCTTAGGCCATGTCTACACTACCACTTATGTCAGCACAACTTGTCACTCATCCTTGTTGGTTTTTTGATTTCTTCTGTCAGAACTTCCTCCTGCTGGTTTTACCCTAGGAATGAGTGGTCTGGCCCTTATGTTTTAATTGCACTCACTGCAGCCTCAACTCAGCTAAATCCAGAATTACAAACTTTAAACCTCTCTGTCGGCTATCAAGCTCTGAAAATAGCTGCCACTGATTCAAAAGGAAGAGATGACATAGGAAAAGCTATGGCTCTGTTACTTCTGAAAGATGCACCACCACCATGCCCTAAAAACCCGTTTTTTAAAGCTGCTGGGTTTTCCTCTGTGCTTACTTCTATTCAAGGGCAGTCTCAAGGTAAGTGGATTTAAAACCAACTAAAAAAACTCTCCTAGATTTCTCTCTATGGCTGAACAAGCCATTTCCAGTCTCAGTTGAATATGGAGGTTCTCACATTCTAAAGAGCCTAGAGGGCTTGCCTGTGTTTTTATTCAAGTCAAATGAACTGAGATGAAGAAATGATGAAAAGACTAATCTAATTTGTAACTATACTTCATTTTAAACACACTAATGTTACATAAGACATCTCAGATGCCTCAGTCCCCACTAAGGTCACAACTACTGTGAGCTACCAGCATCCTTGTACTACTCAATTGGCAAAACAGGTACTGGGCATTTCTTCTCGTCCCTTACTTTCATGCACATTATAAAAACTTAAAATACTAAAAATCATCCTACCTAATGGCATTCATGTTTATCATTTTCTGCAGACATTTAAACTCAGACCACCAGTAAGAAAAGCGATCTACTTCTGCCTTTAAATAAGAGGTTATATAAATGAAACTTCTAATTATTCTTCCTTAGCCCCCCCTGTGAGGTTGGCTCTGTTAGAAAGAAGTGAATTTCCCAATGACAAACTACTTCAGTTATGATTAAACCAAGATTTTTAGCCTCATGCTGATCTCCATCCATGTTTCTTTAAAAGAAAATTATGGATTCTAACAATCAATCATAATTAATACAATTACTTTCAGTGGCTTAACAAACATGGCACTTCTGCTGAAGCAGCAGGCCACTGTTTCAAACATGCAACATTCTCTTTTGGCTGTGTAGAGTAATAACTAAGAATTCAAAGAAAGGGAAAAGACACCACCTTTATTGTAAGGCATAATGATACACAACATTATTTTCAATATTTCAATTTTTCAAATAGCTCAATTTCCTTTACACACATACCTAACATATACACAGCTCATGCACATCTACCTCTTATTCAGCCAAGTTAGAAACTAAGCTGCAAAGCATCATTTTGCTCTAATTTTTGAAACAATGTTAAACTGCGCAGTCTAGACTCTCTTTCTCCATCTTTCCACAAAATAATAAGGTGGTCAGCAGAGCATGTCACCAGTCCAAGTTCACTAAAGTACAGGAACATCTGCAATGAAAACCATTAACATGATCATGCTGCATATTTAGATTTAGGCAAGTTGCTTATTTTCAGCTTTGTGTGAGACAGTTCATTGAGGATCTATTTAAATGCAGAATAAAGTTTTCCACATATGTGAAATTTCATACAAAGTCTTCCATATTATGTGTAAACTATTTGATACTAAAATGTGAGGCAGAGATAGCAGAAAAAACAATCTGTGTCACAATAATAATCTCTGGTTCTTATATAGCATTTTTCATCAGTAAATTTCAAAGCATTTTAGCAAAGGTCACCCCCATTTTACAGATGGGAAAACTGAGGCCCAGAAATGAAGTGACTTGCCCAAGACCACCAACCAGGCCATTGGCAGAACCAGGAAAAGAACCTAGGTCTCCGGACATCCAGTCCAGTGCTCTAACCACTGGGCAACACTGTCTTCCCCCATCACATCAGGGCCTGCACACCACCAGAGGTCATACAATAAGTGAGGAGATGGCAACTTCTTCAGGCAGCAAAGTGTGTCTAGCCAAGGCAAACACAGACTGACACAGGAAAGTGGCCCAGCCAGAAATGCTAAAGAATAGCAGAAAGGGAGTTAACAAGATAGTTAGGGCTGACAAATGGTGCTGCTGGAAAGTACACAGTAAAGAAAGGGAAGCCCCTCAAGACTTCTCTTCATGGACTATCAACAATCTGCCAACAGTCAAGAAGCAACAAACAGTGAAAGGAACCAGGAATGGCAAAGCAGCAGATGTCAAACTGTCAAATTATGAAAACAATTCAGTGCAGCAGTCAGAGGAACATGTCATGAGCACAATTATCTCACAGCTGTAATATCCTGATTCCTCAACTGATTAGGAAGATTCTGTCCTGCGGAAGCATTCAGCCAAAGGAGTCTGTCACAGCCTGCCTCCTCCAGGAACAGCCATAGCAAAGTTACCAGCAATGGGGACTCTCCCAGGTAGAAATACTTCAAACCCACAGCTTTGGATATCATGTTCCACTGGCAACTTTCATCATGCAGGCTAGTTTTCTATCTTAAACAGCTCCAGTCAGCTTGGAGTTAAAAATTACGATTTTCCCCATGCAAAATGCAGCAGCAAACAGACCCAGCAATCTGGATAAAGTCTATTGAAGAACAAACAGTTGCATGGTGGCACGGGGTATTTCAGTGATTGATTCACATGTGCTCTCCGCAGGAAACGGCTGTGGCTTGCTGTGAATTGGATGTGGCTGAGTTTTTAAGCAAATATCAATTTTTGCATAAAAATCAAATACAATCACGGGAAAATACTGTTTAGAGCATAGGATACATTTTATCCTTGGCTTTGTTTTGTTACAAAGATCCAAGTGGGACAGCAGCTCCCGGATTTGCATGTTGTGCCAGGAAAAACCTCACTTCCAGAATCAAAGGGTTAATAATATATTAATTGCAGTTAAGTGTGGTTACACTAGACCTTCTCAACTATGGCATAATAGTGACTCAAAAAAGAACTGTCTTCTACACGACTGCCCCTTCCTTATTCTCTACCTTCTTTCCTGTTTGTAAAGATAGCGGGGTACATAAGAATGGCTATGCTGGGTCAGACCAAAGGTCCATCTAGCCCAGTAGCCTGTCTTCCAACAGTGGTCAATGCCAGGTGCCCCAGAGGAAATGAACAGAGCAGCTTATCATCAAGTGATCCATCCCCTGTTGCCCATTGCCAGACTCTCTCTCTCTCTCTCCTGGTTATAGAAAAGTCCATCCCATCAACTAGCAGGAAATGCCCCACTCCTAGTGCTGACAATTATATATTTTAATTGTTTTATATGAAATCAGTGTTGGTGATATATGTAGGATGGAATAGGCCCTTTAGCTAGGTGTTCTACCTCCCCAACTCCTTCTTCCCTAGATACATAATGTTTCTTTCTTATGCTGAAATTCTATAACAAGAAATAGATACCCTTGTTGGTGTTCCTCAGACTGGAAAACCATGAAGACACAGAGGGAGGTGCAGCTATGTAAAATTAAAATAAATCACTAACATTTTACTGGGCAGATAGCAGCATGGAGTGGTACCTTATTTAAAAAGGCAGATATAAAACATCACACTGTACACGAGGGACAGTTAACATTGCTTTCAATCAACAGCCAAAAAAACCCATTTCTGTAAATGTTTATGGTTGATGAATGAAGAAAGGATTTTCATAAATCTTATAGGACAGAAGGCTGCTTAACAAGTTTTATTTATTACAGCCCCCTGAGTTGGAGTTGGAGCCTGGAACCTGCATATCCAGGTTCCCAATGCCTGTTTCTGAGATCTTCTGAGGACTCAAGTAAAGGTTGCTTAAGAAACCTGATAATGCAGAAGGTGATATTTTCTATGGCTTCTATTTCTACAGCTCTCCTCATGGCGCTGTAATTGTTCTAATTCTTACCTAGATTTTGCACCAGTGGATTTGACTTGTCTCTCACATTGCACAATAAATCTATACATTATTTTGCCCCAGACATCTTTGTGATGGACTTGGGGTTTCTCTTTTTTGAGAAACTTGCTGTGAACCAGCAAGGCCAAAGTACAGGCCTCATGCAGCTCTGCAGCGTGACAATCAGATTCCCAGTCTCCTGAGCCATCTAGTCATAAATTACAGGTGTTTAAGAAGAAACATTACCAAAATTACGGCATTAAATAAGATTCACATTTTGTTTCTCTTACTAAATTCCACATACCTGCACGGCTGATGAATGCCCAATCAAATCGCCAATAAGCTCCAAGGAATATGATGTAGTGCTTTCTTGCATCTTTTTAGCAGTTTGGCTTGCTTGTTTATTGGCCCTTCCAAATCCCCACATGCTGAGAAACCCTGGGACACATATAAAGGAGAAAATCCTTCTTTCCATTTTGGCAAAGGCTTATATTAATATTTGACGAATTAAACACTATACTTACTTAGAGGACTATGGGATATTGTCACTTAACTCAAAAAAGACAACAGATGTGTAATAAAACATTTCTGCATCTGCATTAAGACTACACACTTCTTAAATCAGTGGGTAACAGATACTGTCCCCCTTAGTAGGCCTGTCACAGCAGACAAGTTACCTTACCCGCTTGGATTGTAACTGGGATGAGACAGTGAAGAAGGTTTAGCACAGAGAGAAGCTGCCCAAATGAACCCATGATACAAAGTTGTATAGTGCGGTATTATGAGGCTTACCTCTACTCTGTACTGCCTAAATTGACTGGTTGTCCTTAAATGGAATGGAAAGGGAGGAATGAGGCACGGATCTCTCTCCACAGTGACTTGCACAAACACATTCATGTTTGTCAATAGCTAATAAGCTCTAGTTTCTGTTCCTGCACTGGCATATTCTCCTTCCTACAGAAAACTATCACCCAGAGGGACTTGAGGACAAAAAAGTTCTTGCCAACTGCTCCTCCAGGACTGC